CGCAAAAATGCAAAAAGAAATAACTAACCCGCCGACTTGTTTGCAAAGCATAAACATTTCAAAGCGTATTTGGCAACTAATAAAAGAGATTACGGGAGAAAATAGGAAAAGTACAATATCATTACCAAATGCAATAAAAATTAAAAAAAAATCATTTTGTGACCCCAATAAAATTCCTTTTGAATTTATTAATTTTTTTTTCTTCAATCGAAACATGCTTATCAAATAAAATTCCTTATTTTAATGACAAATCAATTGATAAATTTATTACATCACCTATTTTAACTTTAAATTTTTCAAACCTAACATACAGCGAATTTGAAGCAGCGTTTAAATCATTAAAACGGAATAAGGCAATCGAGGCTGATTGCATCAATAGGAGTATTCATCAATTTGTCTAAAGCTTTTGATACTGTCGATCACCACATTCTGTTAAAAAAATTAGAACTCTATGTAGTTAAAGATAAATCCCTGAGCTGGTTCAAAATCTATCTTAGTAATCGTGAGCAGTTTGTTAATATCCCAGACTTTTCTTTGCATTTATTAATGAATGTAACATGTGGTATTCCACAGGGATCCATAGTTGGGCCCCTATTATTTGTAATGTATATAAATGACCTTAACAAAGCCTCTAAATTAACCACTATAATATTTGCTGATTATACAAACCTATTTCAATATCATGAAAACATAAATACGCGTTTTGTTAATATGACACAATAATTAAATAAAAGCTCATATTGGTTTAAGAAATACATATTGATAAAACAAAATGGACGTTTTTTTACCCAATATCGAGAAAAAAATGTTTACCAAAAACGATGCCCGACTTCTTCATTGATAATACAATACTAAAAAAGGAAAAAGTTACAAAATTTCTCGGAGTTCTTGTAGACGAAAACTTATCCTGGAAACAACAAATCGATAATATCTCCTTAAAATTTGCTAAAAGTATTGGAATTATATATAAAGTTAGAAATATTTTAGATAAACAACAATTAAAACAACTATATTATTCGCTTATCCACTGCCATTTAAACTATACAAATATTATATGGGGAAGCGCGCACAAAACTAAACTTAAATCTCTTTATCATCATCAGAAACATGCAGCTCGCCTAATAATTTTGTAAATCGTTTTTCAAATTCAAAACCACTTCTGAGAGAAATGAAAGCCTTAAATGTATACGAACAAAATGTTTATAATATTTTATGTTTCATGTTTAAATGTAAAAATCATTTATCTCCTGATGTATTTATAAACCTTTATAATGTAAAACCCATCTTCGCAGTGGAAAAAATCTACAAGAACCTTTCTGCCAAACTAAATTTGAACAACTAATTATTTCTTATCGCGGTCCTTATTTATGGAATAAATTAGTTTTGCCAAATTTTGATTTGTCATTAAAATGGACTTGAACTTCTTTCAAACGAAAATTAAAAAAAGATATCTTTTCAGCAGAAATTATTTTTTCTTGTTTTTAGTTCTTTTGTTTCATATATTTTATACCATTTATCCAGTATATTTATATTTTAAATGCACAGTTATATAGTTTATGTGGATTTATTTTTATTGCTTAATTTGATTTTATTATTATTATTATTATTGTTATTATTATTATTATTATTATTATTATTATATTTGATATTTTAAAGGGCTTCATGATAAGATCGTATGATCTTCTGGAAGTTCTGCCGATTATATTTGTAATAAAGCTATTCTGTAAGTGTAATTTATTTTATTGAAGGCAAATATATTTACAAAAAAAAAATTAAAAAAAAAAAAAAATCAAATACCGAGGACCTTTTTTTATGGTTGGTAGTTGTCAAAAAAAGACATATGATACCCTCTCCTTCCCATGCCAAATATACTCAAAGGGACGGCCCTGGTGCCAGTGTGCAGTGTGAGAATTGTGTTGACCATTTCTACTTGATATTAGAAGGAAAAAATTTTAACATTTAGCAATCCATGTTAAAAAGGTTTTACTTCAAACAGTTGGTCAAGAAGAAGAGAAAAATATGCTGTGAATTTAAAATATTATAGAGAGTGGTTTAGGCAGCAAAAATTTAAAAGCAAATAAGATAAAACACTGCCAGAAAGAAGTTTTCAGATCACGTTAAATAAAAAATTATAAAATTTTTTAAGTACTAGTATTTTGGAGAACTATCAATGGTAAAAAGAATTTATATTTGTGTGTATTGGAGCTAAAAAAAATTTAAAAAAATATGAGACACTAAAAACAATTAGAATATGTGACACGGAAATCATTTGAATATGTGACATTGAAAATAATTAGAATATCAGACTCTGATAAATTTTAACTTTCATAGTATAATTTCTCAGCGTTCAGAAGTTATAACCATATTGAGTTTAAAACCCCCTCAATTTGAGAGGGTTATTATTTATTTTTTAATTTTATTTAGGTGGCTCAAAAAGTCCTTACGGTCTTATCACAGAGCACCACGGATGAGCATTTAATTGGAAGTTCACGCCTCCTTTCTAACCGATGTTGCAAAACTTGCCCAGAGGTAGGGTTTGAACCAAGGATTCTTTGTTTCTGAGGCAAGCGCGCTACCACTTAGCCACGGAAATGAATTTTGAACGCTGAGAGATACCGATGAATACAAGTCTAGTTGAGAATAGTACAAAAAATATTTTATCAACTTGTTGCCCCTCACGTTTGGTATGGGGTGGATTAAGTTAAATAGCTTTCTGTTCCCAGCCCTAATCATCGCAATTTTTTGCAAAGTATCATTATTTGACATTTACATTTTTTTTTTTTTTTGCCAAATAATAATATTAATAATACAAATTTTAACATTTTACAAATTTAGCGGCAGGACTTCTAGAAGATCATGAGGATCTTATCATGAAGCCCTTTACAAGGCTTTTTAGTATCGAGTATAATATAATATAAATACGTAATATTATAATGAAGTTATAAAAATTCGTAAAATAACAAAAATAATATGAAGTTTTTCGGTTTTAAAGAATAAAGATATTGAAATACCTGTGGAGATAAATTTTCTTTACACTTGAACATAAAGCATAAAATATTAAAAATATTAAGTTGATAAAAATTCAAAGCTTTTATATCTTTAAGAAGTGGCGCAGAATGTGTAAGACGATTTTTAAAATTAATTGGGCGAGCTGCGTGTTTCTGATGATTAAAAAGAGTTTTAAGTTTTGTCTTTTGAGTGCTTCCCTATATAATATTTGCATAGTTTATATGACAGTGAACAAATGAATAGTACAATTGAGTCAGATGCCGTTTATTTAGTATGTTTCTAGCTTTATAAAGGGTACCGATGCATTTGGAAACTCTAGAAGAGATAATGTTAATGTGATGTTTCCAAGTTAAATTTTCATCAATATAGATTCCTAGAAACTTTGTTACTTTTTCTCTTTTTATCATTACATTGTCAATATATAGTTTCGGTAACAAATGTGGTATTCTATGTTTTTTATAGAGTGGATAAAAACGTGTCCATTTAGTTTTAGCAGTGTTGAGAGATAACCTATTTATTTTGAACCAATCAGAAACTTTTTTAATTTTTAATTTGTCATGTTGTTGAAAAGAATATTAATATTTTCATGAGATAGAAATAAATTTGTGTCGTCTGCAAAGATTATTTTTGTTAGGCTTGAAGTTTTATGAAGATCATTTAGATATATTATAAAGAGAAGAGGTCCAAGTATGGAGCCTTGTGGAACACCACACGTTATATTCATTAACACTTGAGACGAGGATTCTTTATTATAAACATATTGCTTACGATTTGTAAGATAGCTTTTTAATCAATTGAGGGACATTAGTATAAACATACAAAAGTTTGTTCCATGTCTGGAAGTTATCTTAACACCAAAAGATTCCGGATCCGTCACTGATTTATAAACTTTGTTATATGAATTGTTTTTTTGTTTGTTTTTTTAATTTTTTATTTGAGTTTAACTTTATTTCAAAGAAAAATAAATCTAGCATAATGTAATCCATAAACAAGAAGAACCGTTTAGATTTTTTTAAAGATAGATCTAGAGTGGTTTTCTTTTTATTAGAAAAAATGTTATTAAATGATAATGATATTAATCTCTTGAATTATTCCGAATATTAAAAAAGATGACTTGAATTCTTTAACAAAACTGTAAACTATATCTATTAGATCCAACGTACCTGTTCGTGCAAAAATAAAATATGGTTTGGATGTTTTGGGGTCATTGTGCTTTGTAAGTGCAATTAAGCACGACGTATTGCACTAAATGATCGTTTACAAAAGGCATTTAAAGGCCTTTTTTTTGCACTGACTCCGGATTTTCGCAAATCTAGAAGTAATGTCTCTTTTTAATTATTAAACCGTCGTTTATTGAGGGGGAATTTTTTTTTTTAATTTACTTTTATTAAAATTTTTTAATGCTAAGAGATTAATGTATGAAATTTTAAATTTATCAATAAATATAAATTTAGTTTAGAATAGTAAAAAAAACATTTTATCAACTTGTTGCTCTCACGTTTGAGACTGATACTTGCCGGTAAAAGTCATTATCGATTTAGACTAAAAGACATACGGAAACTTCTGATTTTTAAATTCTTCTGAAAGTGATGCCTTGAGCTTTTTATTTATAGTAGATATATTTAAAAGGAATCGGTGCTTAAAGAAAATCTTAAAAAGAAATCGAGGTGAAATAGCAAGAGCTCTACTGGGTTTAGGGGGGACAAAAAATTTTAATTTTGTAACCTTTTTTTTTACAAAATTTTAAATTGCAACTTGAGCATTAATTGTCTTACCTGACTAATTAAGATGAATACCAAAACGATTGTGGGGAAAAATTAAGAAAAATATAAAAGTGGTTGCCGAAGTGAGTTGCGGTTCAGCAATCAAAAAGATTAGTAAAGTTTCAGACAACCATCAACAAAAAACTTCATCTGGCAGAAGAATGTTGCTATAACTTTAATGTAGAAAAAACTTAAAAACGCTAAAAACAAGTTGCAACAAATAAAAAATTACATTTAACTCTTGATCTTTAAATGCAACAACATAGGCGTACAAATAAATGTGAGATTATTTCGTATCTGCACAATGATGAAACTAACGTTCTGAAATAGAGCTAAGTAACAGTTCCGTCAGTAACAGTTCCGTCAGTAACAGTCCCGTCTACAATAAAATGACGGAAAATAAAAGTTACTCTATCAAATATAAATAAAAAATTACATAAGCAAAAAAAGTTGAAGAATAAAATTTCTAAAAGATTCCAAGTAGGTACATTAAAATTTTTAATAAAACCTAGAAATTTTCAGAAAACCCTACAAACTCCAGGATTTTTAAGGAGAGCGATAACACTAATGACCAAATTAAAAAAAAAAATACTTTAAAAAATATATATTTTTTTTCATTTATATTAAAAATAATTTTTATATAACCTCAAGCTTCGGGAACACTCGAGGTAAAAAGTTTTGTGTCACTATTAAAACCTCCATGAATTTCTTGAACGCTGCTCAATGGTGAAAACGACCAACACGGTTCAAAGGGTTTTTCTTTTATATCTTGTTCTTTAACATACTGAACAGACTTTCCAAGTATGTGGATACTGACAATAAATTTGAGCGCACAGAGACTAAATAAATAATTATATTAAATGTATCATGATTAATTTATATTTTTTTTAAATAGCAAAAATGTTTCAATAAACTATTTGCATATAATATATATATATATATATATATATATATATATATATATATATATATATATATATATATATATATATATATATATATATATATATATATATCTATATATCAGGGGCTATTCTAGATCGTTATCGATAGCGACGACCGTATATATATATGCATATATATATATATATATATATATATATATATATATATATATATATATATATATATATATATATATATATATATATATATATATATATATATACAGCTTCCTACAAATGGTGACATATTACGGTACTATCAGTTCATCATTAGTAAGTGCAGAGAAAAATATAAAGCTACTTTAAACAACGTAGGGTGCAAACTTAAACATAATAGCCATGAACTAGTATGCTCTGGTTTATCTCAAAATCAAGAATTTTTTTGCCTTGGAGCAATAACATTCTTGACTTGGAGAATGTTCTCACGTTCAAACTTCAAATTTTTTGAAAGAAAGCAGGATTAGGTTCAAAATTTTGTTCCGGACATTCAATTAAAACTTGTAATATCCTGACATTCAATTAAACAAAGTGTTAAAACTTCACAATCAATACAAATATATGATGCTTTTGCTGTCCTGAGAAATTGTCAAAACTGGAATATATAATTTGTTGATCTTACAAGCTCTTTGACATTTCAACCTAAGGTTTTGTAAAGGACGTTATGGCTGATAGAATGAGAAGTGGAGCTATTATTAGATTCTATAATGAGAAAAAATCTGAAAAAATAGGTTTAATTGCTTCAACAGCAGACGAAGATTATGTCAGCAGAGTGTTCTTATTTAACTTGTTCATAAAAATAAAAAAATATTTAATAAACACCAATCAGGTGAAATTAACGATGACGACGATGAATAGGAAACATCCGGTTCATCAGGTAAGTATGAACAAGTAAATCTTCTGAATTATAGAGGAATAATGAAGATCAACTTGATCGAGATTTAAGAAGATTGCTTAAAAAAACCAGGTAAAGATTTTTAACAATAAAACTTAAGGTCTGTGAATATACCAGTTCAATTGAATTAGAAAAGTGATGATAAATGATTTTAAAAATCTAAAAGAATACCAGTTCAATTGGATTAGAAAAGTGATCATAAATAATTTGAAAAAGTCTAAAAGAATATTTAAAAATATTTTAGGTACCAATTTGCAGAAAATATCAATCTAACAGTGAGTTTGGAAAAAATTATTGAATTTAATTCAATACCAACCACATGATTTATTATTGGTGTTAGACCACAATTAGTTGTACATAGTTCTGTTTTTAAGCTGGTAGTGTGAATATTAATAATGTTCCACTATCAAGATCAACACTTTATGAAAAAAGATTCAAGCAAATTGATCTTTGAGAAGAATGAAGTCATGAACCATTTTAAGGAAAGACATTATTTGTTTTGACAGTAAGCTTGTAGATCAAATGATCATAGAATTAAATTATCAAAACCTGTGAAAGAATTGCCATTAGTGTATCATCAACAGATGATGGTACAAATGAAGACCAGGGCCAAGAAGGCAGATCTATGTCAAACTGAAGAAACAATGGCCAAATATCTGTGAAAAGGTAATAAAAAAAACATCACTAAATTTGATTAGATGACTTATCCATTTTGTCAAAGTTAACTAACTTATCCATTTTGTCAAAGTTTTATGCCACTCACTAATAAGTTTTTTCCACATCCTTTTCATCATTAGACATTAGTTTAATGATGCAAAACATAAACCAGTTTGCTTGGTTATAGCAGCCAACTTCTTGAAGCAATTAACTGACGAGGCTTTGCAACTTTTATCGGTAGCTGATTCCAGATAGGCACAATTCTATTTGAAAAAAAAATTTTCTCTTTGAGCACAGTTCTTTGTTACTTGCTTAGAAATATAATGAGGGTAACCCCTTACTCCACTCGCTGGTCCTTCTAAACCGATTAAGCTTGCAATTGTGTTTGGGTAATATTGTTTGATAATGTTGAAATTGTTTATCAATTTAAAATAATGAATTACATCACCTCTATTACGCCTTTCTTCTGACGTTGTTAAACCAATTTTTGTAAGTCTCTCTTGGTATGTCATATTCTTTAGTTCAGGAACCAGCTTTGTAGCTCGTCTTAGGACCTTTTCAATTAGTTTAATGTATAATTGGTGGTAAGGATTCCAAACTGAGGACGTATACTCTAGATGAGGACGGACAAAGGAACAATAAAGTATTAAAATTGTTTTTATATTCCATGTTTTAAATGACCACCTTAGAGACTTAAGCACGAAGTTTGCTCTGGTTGAAACAAATTTTGGGTGATCTTTCCAATTCAAGTTATTTGTAATTTAAACACTTAGATCTCACTCAGAAACAGTTTTTTCTAGCGAATAAAGAGACCAATTGTTGTTAAGTATTGTATATTCATATATAGGGACTTTTGATTTCCTAATTACCATCGATTTGCATTTCACATAATTCAGCTTCATTTTCCATTTTTTTGACCAATCAACAATTTTTTTCAAACCTTTTTGTAGTCACTAGATCATTCAAACTTTTGATAATTCCTATTAGTTTACAGTACAGTTTACAGTCGTCTGCAAAGAGTTTGACATAGTGTCATTGCATTGGAAAGGTCATTGAAAAGCAGTGGCCCCAATACAGAGCCTTGAGGGACACCAATTTTTTATCCCTTTCCATTCTGACAAGTTTGAACCTATGACTACTCTCTGTCTTCAACCTGTCAAGAAAGATTTTATCCAAGTAAGCAACTGATCTTTAAAACCATATGCACTGAGTTTAAGTAGAAGAGAGTCATGATGGACAAGATCAAGAGCTTTGGCAAAACCTAAGAATATAACATCTGCTACATTACTTTCATTTAGCGCTTGCGAAATAATGTCAATTGATTCTATTAAATTCGTTGAGCATGATTTTTTGGGAACAAAGTCATGCTTTGCCAAGTTGAGAAGATTGTTATCTATAAGATGTTTCATCATTACTGCTTTAACTATATGCTCCATAATCTTGCAACATTACAGATGGTACAGATGTGAGGGAGATTGGTCGATAATTTGAAGCTATTTGTTTGTCTGCGTTTTTGAAAATTGGAGCAATATTGGCTGATTTCCAAGAGATGGGAAGAGTGAGTTCAAATACTGTTTGTCCTGATTTTTTAGGAATCGGTGTAATTTGAGCAATCTTGAATGAGACTGAAAAAATTCCTGATTTAAATGAGAGGTTGGCAAGGTGAGCTATAATTGGAATAAGTAATTCTGAACAGGATTTAAGAATGTTTGTTGGAATAATATAGAGTGGTGATGTCTTAGGTTTGAGAGTTTTGATTACATGAAAATGTTAGTAGAAGTGACTGTACCAAATGTTGTAAAAATATCTACAGGAAGAGATTGCTCCATAACGAAATCAGATTTTAGGATTGTAGCAAGACGTTCTTGGATATTTTTTTTTTATACCTTCAAGTTTGCTTGCAAAATATTGACTTATTGTGTTACATTCTGCTTCTGGTATTGTGTAATTAGTTTTAGAATTATTCGAATGAAATATTTCATGAATGATGGCAGATTTCTTTATAGCAGATCGGACATTTTGGATACCCAAATTTAGTGTAGATTATGCAGAAGGTCCTTGAGAGGTTCTTTTAATTTTTTAATCTAATTTATGCAGATTTAATTTTGTTCTTCTTGAGCTCACAATAGTATTTTTTTCCATTGTACAAATTGTATTGTATATATATATATATATATATATATATATATATATATATATATATATATATATATATATATATATATATATATATATATATATATATATATATATTTTTTTAAAACATTACATGATAGTCTGAGGGTACACTTTTTAATGTAATTTTGATTAATAATTAATTTAAGAACATATGTTTTGTTATTTATTTAACTTAACCAACCAAATCTTTCTATATATACATTTTTTCCATTATTACCTTTGTGTCATAATAATATTTAAGTGTAAAACTAAATTAAAATCAAAATGTAATTATCTACAAACTTACCATAAGTAAAACAAGATGATAAAAAGAAGACCAGACCAATTTGACAACTTAATGCATTGTGAACAGATTCGAATCAACTGAATTTGTAAATATTTATATATTTACGCATAAATAATATGAATAAAAATATGTTTTAAATACAAACAATATGTATTAACTTACAAGGGCAGCCATTGGAAGAACGGTAAATCCCATTCTACGAGAAACTTGATCAGTGTGACCACTAAAAACCTAATCAGTGGTAAAAATGATGTATTTTTTATTTTTAGAACTACTATATTTATTCATTATAAAAAAAGTATAAAAGTTGCAGCAAACCTTGTTTTATCTAAAATAAAGCAAAAATAGTTTTTTAATAAAACAAACACATATTTGAAATAAAACAAATATATAGCTGAAATAAAAAAAAAAAAGAATTTGAAATAAAAAAAATGTATTTTTTTTTATTTCAAAATCTTTATCATGAAAAATTGTAACAAAAACAAACAAACAAAAAAACAAGAAAACAAACTTTTTAATACATGGGTAAACAAGGTAAATAAATTTTGAAGCAACTTGCTCTTACATTCAATTGCAATATTTTTCAAATAAAACATCCTTTCTAGACACCAGTATAAAAATACAAGTATTTTGTTTGCATATTGGTTATTAAATTTGCACAAAAAAAAACCTTTAAGTATGAATTTCCCCAAAAACTATAAATTTTTTTATTTTATTTTTTCAAATAATGCAAAAACTGAATTAAACATAAATAAAACTGAATAAAAACCTATGTTTCTTGTATCTTTGATTTAGAACTACCTTGTATCTAGAATCACCTTATATCAACAATATTTAGTAGCAAATAACAATACTTAGTAGCAAATAACAATTTTTGCTATTTCGCCAATTGTTTTGAAGTCTTGCTAATAAAATAAAAATTTATTACTAACCGTATCACAATTATTGACAAGAAGATTTTTTGCAAGAAAAGCACGATATGTCAAATATACCTATAAAACATCAAATAATTTTAAATTAATTACTTTTTAAGCCCAAAACTTGTGTATTTTTATTAATGTTATTATGATAGTTATTATTGTTATGACCCTTATTATCATCATTAATATTATTATTGTTGCTATTATTATTTTGTTTATTATAATAAAATAACTTGTATAATAATTTTTATAAAAAAATAATTTTTTTTTAACAAGTAGTTATTAAGCAATGTTCAGCATAATTTAACATAATTAAATAATAACATTGAAAGCACTTTTGCATCATAATATATACATATAAAACATTTTTTGCATCATAATATATACATATAAAACATTTTTTACATCATAATATATACATATAAAACATTTTTTGCATCATAATATATACATGTAAAACATTTTTATCATCATAATATATACATAAAAAACATTTTTAGCATCATAATATATACATATAAAACATTTTTATCATCATAATATATACATATAAAACCTTTTTTGCTTCATAAAATATAAATTTAAAACACTATTTTTTATTTTTTTTGTGTATGTATTTAGGTGCTCCCAGAAGTCCTTACGGTCTTATCATAGAGCACCGCGGGTGAGCATTTAACAGGAAGTTCACGCCTTCTTCCGTACCAATGTCGCTTGCTGGGCTATAGCTGGAATTGAACCTGGGACCTCTGAGTTCTGAGCCAGAACTCTAACCACTGCGCCACGGCTGCTATTACATTATAACATACACATTTAAAACACTTGTTTTATAAGATGAATATTTAAAACACTTTTGCATCATAACATATACATTCAAAACACTTTTACATTATAACATATATATTTAAACAAAACAATTTTTACACCATAACATATACATTAGGGTGTGTCATACTTTGGTCAAAACTCAAAAATTCATATTTACCAATGACATATTTTAAAAAAGGGCAAGGTTTAACATACGAAATTCAGAACTATCAAAAAATTTGAATTTAAACGAGTTTAAGCTTCCAGGGAACTGCATTGAAAATTGCCGAAAAGTGTGAATTTTTGATATTTTCATAATTTCAGGGTCATTTTCAATATTTTAGACTTATATCTGTTTTACAACAACCTTATCTTAAGAAATTAGGAATAAGGAAAGTAAGATAAGAATGCAGAATAAGTAAAATTCATTTAATAGTTATACTGTTTTAAAAATTTTTATGAATAAATTATTATTTTTTCAAGGTTTTGTGGCGTTAATTTACATCTCTTCCCCCCTATTTTTATTTTTGATTATGATAGAAAAAAAAACCCCATATAGCAAAAATGTTTCCACAAATATTGGAAAAGTGTTTTTAAAATTGATCGATAAGCATTTCCCGCCCTCTAATAAATTACATAAAACTTTTAATCAAAATACTATTAAAGTTAGCTAAAGTTGGACAAAAAATATGGAAAGAATTATAAAAGGTCACAACAATGCCTTGTTAAACAAAAAAGAAATTCAAAATGAAAAAACTACAGAAAATTGTAATTGTAAACAAAAAAACAATTGTCCAATGAGTGAAAGTTGCTTATCAAAAAATGTGGTATATAAATGTGTTGTCTCCTCTAAGAATGTACCTGATAAACAATATATTGGCATAACAGAAGGTGAATGGAAAAAACGTTTTGCCAATCATAAGCAATCTTTTAAAAATAAAAAGTATTCAAAAGACACCATGCTGTCAAAATATATATGGGAATTAAAAGATAAAAATATTGATGATTTTATACTGAATTGGTCCATCCTTAAAACAGTGCCTATGTTAAAAATTATTTTAAATTTTTCTTGTAGACATACTATGTCTACAAGAAAAATTTAAAATAATTACACATACAAACCAAGAATGTTTATTAAACAAAAAATCAGAATTTATTTCTAAATGCAGGCACAAAAATAAGTTTCTCCTAAAAAACTATAAAATAAGTGAGCTCAAATAATAGTTACATTAACTCCCCTTTGAAAAAAATATATAATTTTTTAAAAAAGCTTAAGTAATCAATTCTAAAGAATTCTTTTTACAATGGTGTCAGCAAATTACACAAATGTGTGAAAAATTGCAGTAGTTAAGACATGTGACTTCCTGTATTTTAATTTTTGGTATAAATTGAAGTTTTATTAATTTGATCATTCATTTCTGATGAGTCTTTATTGATGAAACACAGTGTTAAATAAGAAAAAATTTTGCTAAGTGATTTTCTACTAATTTATATATATATATATATAGTCTTGCATGTCTCTTGCGTAGCATCAAAAAATATTTCCCATAAACTGTAGTTTTAAAGAGCGCGTTAATAAACCAGACCAGAAAAAGTTTTAAAAATTAATTTTTTTTTTTTAATTGATAGACTGCCTGGCCAAACCAAACCCTCAGTCGATGTAGCAGCACTCTCTTGCGAGTCAGGCTATTTGTCAGTCGTTGTAGCAGCACTCCCTTGCGAGTCAGGCTATTTGTCAGTCGATGTAGCAGCATTCCCTTGCGAGTCAGGCTATTTGTCAGTCGATGTAGCAGCACTCCGTTGCGAGTCAGGCTATTTGTCAGTCGATGTAGCAGCACTCCGTTGCGAGTCAGGCTATTTGTCAGTCGATGTAGCAGCACTCCGTTGCGAGTCAGGCTATAAGATAGTCGATGTAGCAACATTTACGCATGTTTAAAAAATGTTTTTTATTAAATCAATAACAAAAACACCACTAATTAAAAAAAACTTTCTAGTCGTTATAATTGCGGTTTTTTAAAAATTTTTAAAAAAACAATTAAATTTAATGTACTTCCGCATAAATTAATTGCTTTGACATTTCGATGACAATCAAAAACAGCTTAAGAGACGAGGTAATTAAAATTGTAGTCGTAAGAGACTTTTTTTACATTAAAATGCTCTTAAAGCGACACTATATGAGTATATATATATATATATATATATATATATATATATATATATATATATATATATATATATATATATATATATGTATATATATATATTTATATATATATTTCTAATTTTCAAAATTACTATATACAAAGTATAATTAAATTTAAAATGGCTGCTGGAACAAGATAGAAAAATGATTCTTGTCTACGTCAATATTTGGGATCTGGAAAAGAGTTGCCAACAGCTGAACTGCAAACACTGAGAGATGTCCTAAGATATGGTACTTTTTTAAGAGAAACAAGCAAACTAAACAGAAGAAACTATAGTAATTCTGATTTGATCCAGGATATTTATGATAAACTTTCAGAAAAATGACAAATGGCCAGTGTTTTATTTGTGCCTCCCATAATTAGTTTAAAACATAATTTGGTAACAAGACTTAAAGTTGCATGGAACAAAGCTATCCTGATTTCTCAAAAAAGAGCAAGTAAATTTATAAAACAAAAGTTTAATTTAATTATTGACAAACTATTTGATTTGGTAGAGTCTAACTGTAAAATATCTCTTTGTTCTGAGCAATGCTGTTCTCCTGACTGTTGGTGCCCACATTACCTTTTGAAATTATGAAGATATCTCTAATATTGCATTGGCCAGTATTCGATATGGTGTTGATTTAAGAGCAACTGCAGCCATAGCTACTGCAGCATGGGTAGATAGAGGACTTGTATCCCAAAGTGACACTAGATTAATAATAGATCACAGTAAAGTTCGGAGAGCTAGGGATAAAGTCATGAATGAAGTTGCTGTTCAGTTTGATGATTATTGTGATAAAGAGATTATTGACTGCATATTTTTTGATGGGCGAAAAGATCTTACTAAAGTATTTTTAACTGTAGATGGATCAGATAAACAGTTTCATGCTAAAGTTAAAGAAGAACATTACACTGTTTGTTCTGGTGATGGTAAGTATTTATTTCATTTCACTCCAGCTAAAGAAGCAAAGAAGAACCATGCTGAAATTATAGCAGATAAGATTATTGAGTATACTGCAATGAGAAACATTAGTACACACTTAAAAGCAATTGGCAGAGACTCTACCAATGTAAACACTGGTTGGGAGGGAGGAGTAATGCACTTTATGGAGCTGAAATTAGGGCGAAAGTTAATTGGATCGGATTGCCTGCGCTCTACATACCAATGAATTACCACTCAAATGTTTAATTAAATTGTTAGACAGAGAATCTAAAAGCGGTACAAAATGGAGTGGACCCATTGGAAGCTTACTTGATGAAGCAACCAAACTTGAAATTAATCTTTTTTTTTAGTAAAGTGGAAACTGGTGAGCCTCTAAATTACTTGAGTAATAATGTGGTTAAAGACCTTACAACAGATCAGTATTATGGCTATCAAATAGTTAAAGCTATACACAGTGGTCATGTTCCTCAGCAACTAGGACTTCTGGAAATTGGCCATGTTAACATCGCCAGATGGCTAACAACAGCCAATAGAATATGTAGAATTTGGGTATCTCATCATGGTCTTTAAGGCAATGCAGCCCAAAACCTTCTTAAACTAGTCGAGTTTATTGTAGGAGTGTACTTTCCTGTCTAGTTTGTCTAACTATATTTAACATCAAAGTTAAATATAGTTGGACAGAAGGACCAAAACATGTTCTTTACCAGCTTAAGTTAAAACACCAGTCACTCGATATTCACCAGTCACTCGATAATCAAAATACTCAACACACTCAAGCTGTCGAAAGATATGTAAAAAAAGTTACCCAGGCTTGCGAAAATGTTTTTACAGAAGATAGAAGAGATGGTTGGATTAAAGGACAAGAGTTGTCACAGAAGTTGATGTCACGAAATCTATCTAAACAAAACCTTATTGGCTTGACAATGTTTAAGAATTAATCTTTATTGTACTATATTTTAATGTGCCAGTAGATGTTTTGTGGATCTATATGAAAGTTTTATTTTTAATTCTAAAACAACCTAATTTTACAGTTTTAGTGGGAGGTAGTGGGAGGGGGGCAAACCACTCTAGTTATTTTTATACAAATAATTATATTATTTTTTATATAGAGATGATGTTTGTAAGTTTTTTTTAAAAAATACTTCAATTTTTTAAGTTCATACCTCCCCCTCCCCCAGGGTTTTTGGTAAAATAGTGTCTCTGGTTCCCTGGTAGCTAAAACTTTTTTTTTTTTTTTGACGGTTCTGAACTTGTAATATTATACCTCACCCTTTTTTAAATTATGCGAGTCAAAATTCAAAAAAAAAAAATTATGACACACCCTAATATACATTTAAAACATTTTTGCATCATAACATATAAATTTAAAACATTTTTGCATCATAACGTATACATTCAAAACAATTTTTGCATCATAACGTATACATTTAAAACAATTTTTGCATCATAACATCAGGGGCTATTCTAGACTGTTCTCTAGAAAAAAAAGTGTCGACTGTATTTGGGCACTTCCCAAATTAAAAACACATTCAATTAATTAGGTTGCTTATAAATGTTACTAAATTTAATAGTTTACTATATAAATGTTAAATAATCATAATCAATACAGTTCCATAAATTTAATTTATTTATTAAAAATAGTAAAAACATTTTCTGATAAGAATACAATTTGCTGCTACATAATATAAGGTGGAAATTAAAATTTGTGTGATTTTTTTACATAATTACATCTCTGGTGTGAAAGTTTTTTGAAAAAAAAAAACTTGTATTTTTGCATTCATGTAATATAATAATAAAATTATTTTATTTGTTTATATATAGACAAATTTTAAATTTTAAAAACTGTAAGCAAAAAAAAACTTATATTTTATGTTATTTGAGCTAATAAATAAAAATAGACTCCTAAACTAATAAATAAAAATAAACCTTCATCTTTAACATTTTCGTTTATTACAACAAAAAGTTAATTATAATGATAATAACAATTTCTGTTTATTATAATAAAAATATCACCATGAGTGTAAAAAACGACCAAAAAAGAACTCATGGACTAATGTTTGTATGACATATCTATCTACTACATTATCCAATATCAAAAATGTATCTACCAATTTAATCAAATTTTATTACAAAAAAACAATAATTTTATTACAAAATATAATAACTAAAACAAAAATAAAAATATAAAGTGATAAAAAATTTATTTAAAATAAATTTTTAAAAATTTATTTAAAATTTATTTAAAATAAAAATTTATTTAAAATAAAAATTTATATTTTTAAAAAAATTAAAAATATATACATATTTATTATAGAGTAATAAAACTAATATTTTTACATCAGGTTGTATGTCATTAAACTTGGTTATAAAAGCATGTTTAAACCAGTCCACCAAAAACTCTGAGCCAATGACAACAGCTGCAAATGGTATAAAAGAAGAACAAGCATAGTCTGCTCAAAAATAAATAAATAAATATATTGTTCATTTATGAAAACACATGTATATATGTATGTATGTATGTATGTATGTATGTATGTATGTTTGTATGTATGTATGTATGTATGTATGTATGTATGTATGTATGTATGTATGTATGTATGTATGTATGTATGTATGTATGTAAGTATGTATGTATGTATGCATGTATATATGTATGTATGTATGTATGTATGTATGTATGTATGTATGTATGTATGTATGTATGTATGTATGTATGTATGTATGTATGTATGTATGTATGTATGTATGTATGTATGTATGTTTGTATGTATGTATGAATGTATGCATGCAGGTATACATATTGTAGGTTTATATTATTATTTACATAAATTATTGTTTAATATGAATTATACCAATACTCACACAAATATTTAAATATTTTATTAAAACCAACATGTTTTGTTTTAGAAATGACAAAAATACTTTCTAATTAAATTCTATTCTATGGTACTCTGAGATAAAACAGTTAAAATTTTATTGGAGTACTTTCAAGCCATAAGCATAAAAAATTATTTAAAAAAAATGTATTTGTATTTAAATCAGTATTTAAATATATGTTAAAATCATTTATTTTTTTTTTTCAAAAAATCTTAACAATAATTATAAATAGGATGTATTTATAATATTAATAATCATAATTAGTCAAGCAAAATTGCATTTTTAGGCAAAAACTTTTAGGCAAAGCAATTATCACATGATAACAATAGTTTGTAAATAAATCATATAACTATTTATAGGAAAAGATGATGACAAACACTCACAGGATGACATCATGACAAACATTCAAATAATGACATTAACTATAAAATGATAATATCTAGTTTAGTATCCAAAAATGTTTGATTGGATAATTACATGAAATTATTAACTCAAACTATAGGCACATGATAGGCATCCCAAAACCTTAGCCTTGGCCTGAGGAACAGCTCGCACAGCTCCCCAAGTTCATTTTAGGAGAGCTTTTCTCCATTCTTGTGCTCATTTATTCCCGCCGAGGCCTGTATATATATTAAGTATTATTCATGTAATTAAGAATACCTAAATTCCATTCATACTCTGTAAGATTACGCATAGCAACCACTAGCAAAAGAGTGACATTGTGAAATCTTTCTCGAGCATCTCAATTTAAAAATAAAAGATGTAAATAATTAAAACTATTTGATTAATCATTAAATTTACAGAAAAAATTATGATTGAGCAACTTACCACTGCAAGAGATCTGAAACAAATTATTCTTTTCAAATCTTTTGAAAACACTTGATTTGATTTCAATAAACTATTAAAAAATTGTTATTTAGTGTAACAATTATATATATATATATATATATATATATATATATATATATATATATATATATATATATATATATATATATATATATAAAATATATATATATACATATATATATATTTATATATATATATATATATATATATATATATATATATATATATATATATATATATATATATTTATATATATATATATATATATATATATATATATATATATATATATATATATATACATATATACATAAATATACATACATACATACATAAATATATATATATTTTTTTATTTGCATTCACTCCCAACAAGGCTGCAAGCAACCACTATCAAGTTGGGAGTTACTAGGAAAAAAAAGAACAGAGATATAGAACAAGGAAACGGTTGACAGTAGACTTGACTATATATATTTAAATAATTGTTATAATATATGTATATATATATATATATATATATATATATATATATATATATATATATATATATATATATATACATATTTATATATATATATATATATACATATATATATATATATATATATATATATATACATATATATATATATATATATATATATATATATATATATATATATATATATATATATATATATATAAATGTATATATATATATATATATATATATATGTATATATATATATAATATTTATATATATATATGTATATATATGTATGTGTATATATATATATATATATATATTTTAAATTCAACTCCCAATGCCAAGAATGCCACTACGGTCTAGAAGGCTACTTTAGTTTTGGTTACAACCCTCTCTCAATACTATAACTCCGAAACACAAACCTTGACAAACAAGGCTGGTGCACAGAGAAACAATTTAAGTGCAGTACTACCAGGAACATGGTGGGGATCAAACTTTTTATAATATTGTTCAACTTAATAATGCTCATTCGTGATGAATGAGCATTATTAATGTTTGATGTGGAAATCATGACAACCATGAAACTTGAGTTAATGGCAAGAAAGCACTTTTTTATAATAAGAAAATGTGAACAAAAGTGTATGCAAATGTACTGTAAATTTTTCACATAAGTTTGCAAATGTAAATTATGTAAAATTTATATCAAGTTTTACATTTTTTACTTTTATTTAAGAATTGCATTTCGACAATAATCTCCTTAATTTAGATTTGTAGTCTTTATTTGTCATTTTATAATTTTGGAAATGTTAAAAAACACATTTTGAGGTTCACCTATTTAGTGCCATACCTAGACCTAATTCCAAACCGTTTGACTGGTATGGGTGCCCAAACTAAAAATTCCATAAATCAATAATTGCAACATTAGTATAATAAAAATAAAAAATAACATTAAATAAAATAATATAAACAAGAAAAAAAATTGTCAATGTTGTTAACTGTACATTACATTTTTTAAACTATAATTATGTTGGACTTCACTAATGTTCCTAACTTATATAAATTGTATTTATGAAGGAGTGTTAATCATCGAAGGAATGCAATGAAGAATGTTTAACAATTTTTCACAAAAGCAAGAAAAAAGTATTGGAATGTGTAAAACAATGCATTCTAAGAATTATTTATACTTTTATGATTGGAATTATAAATTTTTGTTTATAAAAAAATTTTAAACTAATATTAAAAACTAGATAACAAATTTAGCATATTTTCTTTGTTCTTTTCTTATAAAAGCATGCAACGCTGACGAGAAAATTTATTTAATTACTATTTCTTAACATATTTAGAAATCACCCTTTGTTTATAGTTACACAATCAACAAAAAGTTACTTTTTAATTAACTAAATAGCATCCTTCCAAAGTAGCTATTTTTTTAACTCGTTGTTTTGATAAAATTTTGCTTCTACTTTTTCTTTTGAACATGTTCAGTTTAAAGCATAAAGAATTATAAATTCTTTTTAAAACAAAGAATTATTTTATTTCAATTTTTATAAATAAAGAATTAAACTTTTTAAAACCTCAAACAAAATTTTAATTTTAAAATGGAAGCATTTTTATACTTATATTGACTGTTTTTAAAATTTTTTTTTATTAATTTAAAGTTAAAAAAATAAATTAAGACCATGATTATTAGAATGGTTAGGCCACATACCACTGGGAACTCCCACAATAAAAACTCTGCCACTTATACATCAAAACAGTCAGTTAGTGACAATAGTAAATCCCAGCAATTGATTACTAATATATATGGGTCAAGCCTGCTAAGTAAAATAAAAATAGTGCTATTATTGAACGCAATATGTTAAGTGTAAATAGTTCTAGGGACAAGAAATCTTTCCCAGATGTTGACAAAGTCATTAATTCAACTTCTCACCTTGGTTTTAATTCAACTTGACTTTGGTTGCCCACCAAAGTCAAGCAAAATAGAAAACACTGTACAAATTTGAATTTTATTTTGCATCTGGAAATGGATGGCTTAGCCCAGTATGTTCCAAATACGACACTGTCGGCAACTTAAATAGGCATAGCAAATGTGTGAGTTTATGGGAACACCCGAAACACACATTTGATGGGCAATATTAGGAGATCTGTAAAGTAAGGTTCTGTATAAAAACTGCACAAAACCGAAACTGCAAAAGCCAAACAAAACCTCCAAAACAGAAAAGTTATACAGTTGTTGTTGAAAACTGTATATTTTATTGAACGCAAGAGATGGGTGAAAGTGAAAGTGCATGAAGATTTTGGTAACACCATAAAAGATCCTGGAGATCAATTACATGGAAGCGCATTTACCTCAAAAAATGTATCTTATAAATCGGTAAGATCTGTTAACAGCTTTATCAAATGTTTGAGTGACAATTTAGAGGATGGTCTATTAACAAGCCTTATAAATGCTTCTGATTTCAGTCTTTTATTAGACAAAACAACTGATACCTTGGTGTAGTTACGGTAATTTTAAAATATTATAGCATCTGTATGATATTTTGTTGACTATGACATATTTCCATTAAATGATCAGGTCTGTGAATTATGAAAAGACAAAAAAAATTAAAATGATAAATTTTGCGGTATCATAAAATAAAAATTTTTGTAGAAAAAAAACCCAGACTGAAGATTCTTTTTTTAAAAAAAAAATCTTTTTAAAATCACAATCGCTTGTCCAAATTTTAATAAGATTTTAAATAAATATATTTTTTAGGTGAAATAAACATAGCTTAACAATAATTTGTTCTGATCGTCTATTGGCAATTTTTCTTAACTATAAGCTCTTTCTAGGTGTGAATTCTAGTATTTTTTATGAAAATTGATTGAAATATTGTGTTTTGACAACTATAAATAGTTAATATACATCAGAACTGATTGGAACTAGGATCAATAGTAAATAAAGGAACTTTTTCAAAAGATTTTAACTAAAATTAAAACTTTCATGTTAATGAGGAATTTTACAAAAATAGGAATCAATATTATTCAATCATGAAACTATCATTAGTTATCACACCAAGTGTTGCTAATGTTCAGCGTGGATTTTCTGCACTTTATCTATTTCACACAAAGCAGAGAAATTCTTTAGTTGATGTGTTTGGTGTTGTTAAGCCTTGATAAAATTAGCACTGAATTATCAAATTATCAATAGATTTCGAAAAGGATTGCTTTATAAACAGTTATTTATTTACATTTATAATATCTTTTGAAAAAAACTATTTGTTATGAGAGATTATTATTTGTTTCATTTTTTATACTCTTATTTTGAATTACCTACTAACAATAGGTTACAACTTTACAAGTTATTAATATAACCTTTAGTTATAGTTCTCGCAGTCCTTTAATATCTTTGCAATTCTCGCTTCAATTTAAGTATAGGAAAAAAGCATTTTTAAAAATCTATTTACAGTACAGGAGGGACTTAACCATTGATAACAACATTTTGAATATATAACTATTAAAAAAAAACATGATAGAAGTTGCGCATGTTGTGGAAATATTTCTTTCTATCTTTTGAATTTAAAAGTATGTAATTATAATAAACTAATTATAATAATGTTACTAATAACAATAATATGAAATTATATAAACTTTATTAATATGAGGTTGTTGTTTTTTTTGGTTACAAATTTATAGAAAAAATTGCCATACAGATACCCCTAAACTATCACTGGGTAACCCGTAACTATGGTATCACCCGTAGCTATGGGTATGGCACTGCCATTATTCCAAAATTTTTTTGCAGCAATGGATGCAACATGTTTAATAAAAAAACATCCAAACTTTTGTATACTTTTTGGCAAACTCAGCAAAGTATTTTGTGAGTTTGCCAAAAAGTATACAAAGGGTGACTTAACTGTGATAGAGGTTGTTTCTAAAGACCTATATAAACATATTGAATAACCAAAAATTAACAAAGATTCACTATTCAAAAGATGCATATTCTCAAACCTTTTTATAACTAACAGGGGTGGAACCTTTTTTTTCTGGTTGCCCTGCAGTTAACTGAAATATCATATGTATTACTCAAGTAAATATGTTTTACTTGAGTCGCCTGCTATGATAATTAGTACTTGGGTATTTTTAATTTTATGGACATTTTTTCTCAACTGAAAAAAATGAACAAAAATAATTTTGACTACTTATGAATAATAAGAACTGTTTAATTAAAAATAAATTATTAAATGTTAAAAGCTATTAAAAAATGTTAAGTAATTTTTATTATATTTAGTGATATCAGAATATTAAATACAACTTTTAAAGATCATTAGGAAATATTTTAACAGAGGTTTTCTGCTGCTTATTATTTATATCATTATTAGTTAAATTAATTGAATGTTTAAAATATTGTTTTTTATTTGATTTATTATGACTACTTTTAGTTTTAAATTTTAGAAAAAAAAACGTTCATCACTAATAAAGCTTTTAAAAATAAAACAAAAGGGTCAACCTTATTCATGTTATTCACATGCCCATTTACGTGATTTAAAATGCGACTAATATTTAAAAAAAAATTATACATTAGCATTTTGAATATGAAGAAAATGTAATTTTGAATTGAGAAAAAAACATGATTCAAAATGTGACAGTTAAATTTTGTTTAACAAATTTGCATTTTGAATTTAAAAGAAAATCTGCAATCTTTCAAAAAGCAGTATAGTTACACTTTACCTTTTTTTTAAACATTTTAATTTGAGTGCATGTCTAATTTTTTTCAATTCAGCTTCTTTTTATCATGATTAGTAAAATTATTTAATACACTGTAGCATGTTCATATTTAAACATAGTTTATAATTTACATACATTTTAAAATGAACTTAAAATGCTTTTTTAAAGGTTTTTTTTTTTAAATAATCACAATGAATAAAATCTTCATATTTCAAATTGCTCATGCTGTAATATTACGATTTTATGCATCTCCTCATCTTTACTTCTTCTATATCAGTTATTATATGTTTAATCGTCACAAAATTTATTGCTACATAATTACAGAGCTTTTGTTTCATAATTCACTTTTACACATGTTCACTTTAATTTTAAATATAGCAGATAAGGAAGTTCTTTCATTGCAAAAATCATTATCAAAAAAGTGAATATTTACTCACAAAGAAATAGAAAATTATACATTTGATGAGTGAATAATGAAAAAATTTGATGAATAATGAAAATGACAATAAAAGATTAATGCTCAGAGAAGGTGTGCGGCATGTAGGTGTGTGGTAGATGTGAAGGTGTGTGGCATGTAGGTGTGTGGTAGGTGTGAAGGTGTGCGGCATGTAGGTGTGTGGTAGGTGTGAAGGTGTGCGGCATGTAGGTGTGTGGTAGGTGTGAAGGTGTGCGGCATGTGCGGTGTGTGGTAGGTGTGGAAGGTGTGTGGCATGTTACAAACGCAAAATTCAAAAAGATTCAAGATATTATTGTGTACAATGTGATGTCGGACTTTGTGCAGCTCCATGCTTTGCCAATTATCAAACAAAAAGTGAATATTAGTGAATACATTTTTAAAATTTTGTGTTTATGTAGTATAATTTATATATTCTTAAACTTGAATAATAATACTTTGTAGTGTGTAATAGTGTAAAAAAACATTTTTTTAATTTATTAGTAAAAAAACACAATGTTTTTTTAAAAACACGAAACATTTAGAGACCATGTCAAAAAAAAATGTTGGACTAATAGCAACAATAATTTAAAAAAACACAATACTGTTAAAAGGTTAAACATTATATTATATAAATTCACCGAAATGCCACACGCAAGTAGTGAGTGAAGGAAGAATGAAGTGCACTAGAATTAAGGTGAGCTAGTTTTCATAAAAAAACAAATTTAGACAGTTGGTCCAGCAAAAATTAGTAAAAAATTATACAATATACGAAGCACATGAAAAACATATAGAATTATATGTGACAATGTTTTTAAATACTCATGAACAAAAATACAATCCCAAAATATATATAATAAAAGCTAATTGAAAAATAAAACAAAAGTAATACAATAGCAAATATATAGTATAATATAGAAAGGAAGGAACAAGATAATAATGGTTTTTTATTAACTTGTGTAGTGGTAGGTAATAAATTTATCCTCAGAATCATATTATTATTACCAGGATTTTAAAGAGAGCAACAACGACTTGTTTACCCAAATGAATGCACCACTTATGCGTTATCCTACAATTGCTATTTTTTTATCATTTGATCTAAAAACCAAATGTTTAAGTAAATTATATTTTTTTGTTACCTGAGGCAAAAAGTAAGAGAGTAATGAAAATTTTATTAGCAAAGACAAAAAGTTAGAGATTAATGTAACCTAGAACAACTTTCTTGAAACAAAAACTTGTTATCAAAATCAAAATTTAAAAAAAAAATAAAACTTTTACCTGGTTTGAAATCATTATAGTTAGTAAAGCTTTGTTGTAAGAATTTAATGCCACATTTAACACTATGACTTGTAGAAGATTTAAAATTGTATGAAGTGCTATAAAGTTAAGAAAAATTCTCAAAAGATATTAAAACTTTAAAATCTTAAAAAAAATGCTTTCAACCCTTTATTGTTTAAAGTAGCCATATGGCAACTACCAATTTCCAGAGTATTGTATCCTGCTGATATTATATTGTACATAATATTTTTTGTAATATTTTTTGCAAAGTTTCAGCCTAATACAAAAATAAAAACTACTAAAGTTAGGGTTCAAACTGGTTTTTTTAGAAACAGAGTTGATGAATTACTATAGATTTTTTATTTGCTTTAGTACTTTATTGCTTATTGTGAGTAAATAAAGTCTTATTAACGCTGGCAGTTAATATTCAATTATGCATTTTTAAAGATCATAAATTTGTGTTAAATGTAGTTTTGTGAAATTAATTCATAAAATTCCTATTCTGCCTTCATAAAATATATATATATATAATATATATATATATATATACATATATATATACATATATAATATATATATATATATATATATATATATATATATATATATATATATATATATATATATATATATATATATATATATATATATATATATATATATATATATATATATATATATATATATATATAACTCTCGGAATTAGGAAAATTGAGGTCAATCTTTTTGATGCCAGCATCAGGTCAGCAAAAATTATTTGATACCAAGGTCTGACCATAAAACATAGAAATGAGATCAGCAATTTTTTGCCGACCTCAAACAATTTCAGGTCGGCAGTTAGGTCAACATTGCCGAATGCTGACCCTAATTCCAAGAGTTGTATATATATATATATATATATATATATATATATATATATATATATATATATATATATATATATATATATATATATATATATATATATATATATATATATATATATATATATATATATATATATATATATATATATATATATATATATATATATATATATATATATATATATATATATATAACTATTAGTATAATTTAACCAACAAAATGAAAAATTTCTTTCAAACCTTACTGCAAGCCTGGCAATTCCATCAGCTATGTAAATGCTGACTCTAACCACCCTCCTAGTATACTTATAAGCCTTCCACAAACTATCCAACTAAGATTGTCAAACAATTCTTCTAACGAAAATATTTTTGAACAATCCATTCCTCTTTATCAATATGCATTATTTAAATCAGGTTTTATCTGCAAATTTGCTTACCATTCAAATAAAAAACCGATCACATTCAAAAATCACAAGCAAAACACAATCTGGTACAACCCACCTTTCAGTACCAATGTTGCAACAAAAATAGACAGTTGTTTTATGAACATGGTAGACCTGCACTTTGCGGTTGGTAACAAACTTTGTAAGATTTTTAATCGAAATACCATTAAAATAAGCTACTCATGTATGCCAAACATCAGGTCGATCATTAATTTGCACAATCACAAGATGTTATATAGCCAAGGTAAAGATGAGGGAAAAATATGCAACTGTCTCAACAAATCCATCTGCCCATGAACAATCAGTGCTTGAAAAAGAACATCGTTTACCAAGCCAATGTGAAGAAAACAAAGAAAAAGTATATTTTGCTTAAGTGAAACTCCATTTGAATCTTGGTATGCTAATCACCTAAAATCTTTTAACATTAATAAATATAAAAATGATACCGAGTTGTCTAAAGAAATTTGGGACATTAAAGACAAAATGTTTACACCCATAATTAAGTGGAAAATTGTAAAACGTTGCAACCCTTATAACATCTCATCAAAAATTTGCAATCTTTGCTTATTCGAAAAATTTCTTATTTTAACATATAAAGGTGATAACTTGTTAAATAAACGATAGTGGAAAATTGTGAAATGATGCAATCCTTATAACTCCTCGCTAAAAATCAATCTTTGCTTAGACAAAAAAATATTTATTTTAACATATAAAGGTGAAAACTTGTTAAATAAACAAAATGAGTTGATTTCAAAATGCAGGCACAAGAATAAACTCCTCTTATCTTTTTTTGACACCGGTGATTAGCTAATATTTTGTTTTTTCTTTGGTTGCCATCAAGTATGTCTTAGCGACGTAAAGATCCCACTACACAGTATTTTTGTCAGTTTTAGCAGGTTTTTGATTTTGTATTCAATGGCTGATGATTGCTGTATAGGCATGAAACTTAAAGTACCTTAGAAAAAGTTGTTTTTCTTTGTTAATATACATTATTGTGAAAAAGTTAAGAACCACTAAATAAAAAAAAATATTTTTTTTAAATAAAATTAATTAATTTTTATTCTAAAGATTATAAAAGTCTTTTTTTTTCAAACATATTAAATAGAACATGAGAGAAAAGATTTTTTTTTTGAAAATTAATTTATAGAACCTATAAAAATAAGGATTAAACATGTGTTAATTTTTTTCAATTTTTTTTTTTGAGAAAAAGTTAAGAATCACAAAGAATTTTTTGTGCTAAATGCGGTGAAAACAACTTTATTTTATTGATTTTTACCTTTTTATTTAAATATTTTATTAATGACCTGAGTCATTACTAAAAAACCAAAAGTAAAAAAAAAAAAAGTATTTAATTCCAAACAAAAAAAATTTTCTTTTGAAAAAATGAGCAGAAAAGCTATTACCTATAAAGATCGTGTAAAAGTAGTGCATTTTCACCAGGAAGGTAAAACCGCTCGTGAAATTAGAAAAATAATAAAACGATCACATAGTTTGGTGCTAACAATCATCAAAAAATTCAGAGTGACAAAATCTTACGTTAATCGCCATCGTTCTGGAAGACCGCGTTTGACGACACCCAATGATGATCGCCTTTTAATCAGGTTGGCAAAGAAAAAATAACCAAAAAAACGGAATTATGATTTGCAGACAGCCTTCAGAAAAATATAATCTCAATTGTATTGTTCAAAGAACAAAACAAGGTAGTGGGTGGGTTGGAGTGTGGTGCTGCATGACATATTATAGTATCGGTATGTTTAAATTATTTGATGGTCGACTTTTATTACGTCGATATTTTAAATAACAATTTGTTACCACCAATTGATGCACTTGAGCAAAGCGTTTCGTTTATTTTTCAGCAAGACAATGCATATATATACATATGAATATAATAATGCATATAAAAATGCATACATGTCACAGGGCTAAAATTGTCTCTGAATGGTTTGAAAGCAAAAATATTGAGTGTCTAACTTGGCAACCAAATAGTCCATATCTAAATTGCATTTAAAATCTTTGGAGTTAGCTTGATAAAGAGATTGCCAAGAAAGCACCAAGAAGTCTTGAGGAGTTGCAAAATATTTTACTTACAATACTAGGAAAAATATTCCCTAACATATTTTAGAGAATTTAATAGACTCAATGCCAAATCGTATAAATAAGTGTTTAAAAATTCATGGTAAAATTACGCAGTATTAGGTAAAAATTACCATTTTTTGCACAGTGGTTCTTAACTTTTTCACAATTTTTTTAAAATAAAAATTACCTTCAAAACTTTTAATACATTTATTAAATTTGTTTTAAAGTCTTTGGCATTATTATTATTTTTTATTTTGTTTGTCTATTTTCTAAAATTTATTCTTATTATTTTTTTTTTACCAGAAAAATATATTTGACTAAATAGAATTTTAAAAATAAAAATAAATTATGATTTGTTTTTTAGAGGTTCTTAAATTTTTCTTTAATACTGTATGTATGTATATATATATATATATATATATATATATATATATATATATATATATATATATATATATATATATATATATATATATATATATATATATATATGTATGTATATATATATATATATATATATATATATATATATATATATATATATATATATATATATATATATATATATATATATATATATATATATATATATATATACATACATATATATATATATATATATATATATATATATATATACATACAGTATTAAATCACTCTATTTGAAGTATCTTTTTAACATTGAGCACTCTTTTTCGACTATGAGTTTTATTTTATTATTATAATACAAAACAGCCTTAAATATCAATATATATATATATACATATATATATATATATATATATATATATATATATAATATGTATAATGTATATATATATATATATATATATATATATATATATATATATATATATATATATATATATATATATATATATATATATATTTATATATATATATATATATTTATATATATATATATATGTACATATATATATATATAAAATATATATAATATATATATACATACATATACTTTATATTTTATATATATATATATATATATATATATATGTACATATATATATATATATATAAAATATAAAATATATATAATATATATATACATACATATATTTTATGTATATATATATATATATATATATATATATACATAAAATATATATATATACATACATATATATATATATACAAAGCCATGGCTAGGCTCTGCCTAGATTTTGGGGTCATTATGACAGGTTTGTGAGGAGAACCTTGTACCCAGTTATCATGGCACTGTATATGTGTGTGTGTGTATATATATATATATACATATATATATACAAATACATATATATACATATATATATATATATATGTATATATATGCATGCGAATATATATATATACACACACATATACAGTGCCATGTAAAATATATATTATACCTAAAGACAAAGCTGAATTATTTGCTAAGAACTTTTAATCAATATCATCTCTTAATTCCACTAGTTGCGCTCTACCTGATATAGCCGCCAAACAAGTTGATCCATTGCTTGACATTCGTATCACTCTAGCTTCTATATCTAAAGTAATATCCTGCTTGAACTCTTCTACAGCTTGTGGCCCAGTCAAAATATATGTTATAGTCTTGCAAAAGTGTTCTCCGAAGCTGTCATCTATCCTCTCAAAACTATTCAACAAGTGCTTATCAGAATCTTGTTTTCCAGCCTGCTGGAAAGCAGCATCTGTTATCCCTATTTTTAAGAATTCTGGAGAGTGATCTGATTCGTCTAACTACTGTCCCATTAGTCTTCTTCCTATCATAAGCAAGGTTTTTGAATCTTTAATTAACAAACACTTAATCTCTCATCTTGAATCTAATAACTTACTTTCTGATCATCAATATGGATTTCAATCTTCTTGATCAACTGATTTGCTAACAGTAATAACCAATAGGTTTTATTGTGTGTTAGATAAAGGTGGAGAAGTTAAGGCTATCGCCTTGACATTTCTAAAGCGTTTGATAAAGTTTGGCATGCTGGTCTTCTCCATAAGCTTTCTTCTTACGGTGTATCTGGAAACATCTTTAAGATTATTGAATCCTTCCTTTCCAATCGTAGTATAAAAGTTGTCCTTGATGGACAGCACTCAGAGCTGTCCATCAAGGACAAACTTTTATAGTACGATTGTACTACATCAAGTAGTATAAAAGTAGTCATACAACTTTTATACTACTTTTATACTACATCAAGTTCACTGCTACAGCATGGGGCTCACAGTGGCTGGTGAACTTTAATTCAGATAAAAATTTTTTTCAGCCAATCGTTATCACAATAATTTAGACCTTCCTATATTTAAGAAAGGTAATGTACTCAATGAGTTATCTACCCTTCATCTTTTAGGATTAACTCTTACTTCTGATCTGTCTTGAAAACCATATACCAAATCCATTGCAAAATTAGCATCTGTTAAAGTTGCATCTCTTTATTGAGCTCGACACTTTCTTACTTTGGATTCTATTCTCTATCTCTATAAATCTAAAATCCAACCTTGTACGGAATACTGTTGCTATATCTGGAGCGGATCTTCTAATGATGCCCTTTCTCTTTTAAACAAGGTGTAAAAACGCATTGTAAACATAGTTGCACCTGCTCTTGCAGCCAACCTTCAAACAATATCACATCATCGTAGTGTTGCTTCTCTTTCTTTTTTTTTATAAATTCGCTTCCTTCATCTTGCTTTTCTGATTCATATAATTTGCAATCTTTTAATTTGTCTGTCAATCGTTATCTTGCTCTAAAATTTTCATCTTTTCTCTTCCAGTAACTTCCAACACTAATTAGTGGTTGCTTGCAGCCTTGTTAGAAGTGAAGATGTTTAATATATATATATATATATATATATATATATATATATATATATATATATATATATATATATATATATATTATATGTATGTATGTATGTATGTATGTATGTATGTATGTATGTATGTATGTATGTATGTATGTATGTATGTATGTATGTATGTATGTATGTATGTATGTATGTATGTATGTATGTATGTATGTATGTATGTATGTATGTATGTATGTATGTATGTATGTATGTATGTATGTATGTATGTATGTATGTATGTATGTATGTATGTATGTATGTATGTATGTATGTATGTATGTATGTATGTATGTATGTATGTATGTATGTATGTATGTATGTATGTATGTATGTATGTATGTATGTATGTATGTATGTATGTATGTATGTATGTATGTATGTATGTATGTATGTATGTATGTATGTATGTATGTATGTATGTATGTATGTATGTATGTATATGAAACTTTCTTAAGTATTCAACATATAATTGCATATTTTTTAATCACTCAATTTAACTTCAATATAATCAATAAAGTTAATTAAAATTCTTTTTCTTAATTTTTCAAAGTATCCATATGGCTACCATCATTTATTCAAAAACTCTGTATGTCAGTAAAAACAAAATTGCAAAAAATGATTCAGCAAGTTAAAATAATAATTTGCACCAATACAAATAATTTTTATTCAAAGCAATCATATTTATAACCAATAATATAATAAATTACCTTAATTTAAACATATTGAATTCGTTGTCATTATACGATATACCAAACATGTACAATATACATGAATATAGATATATATTATAGTAAATATAATATACATCGATAAAGATGTATATAAATAGTATATAAATAATGTCTTCAAAAAATGCCATTCTTTGGTTTACCAAATCAATTCAATGGAACTATATTTTTAATATTTCCATTATACATTTTATTTGTTAATATAACTTTTCTATAAAATAGCTGTTTATCATTGGATCTTTATGTCTCTTGATTTGCATTATACTAATAAAATGGTAATAGACTCAAGAATTGAGCCTAGTTTCTTAATTATATAGAATATGAATAATATATATTAATTAATATAAATTTTTGATTTAAACTATTTTAAGTTTTTGAGTCACTATACGTCAGTTTTGAGTGACTCTATGTTAAACTTTGAGTCACTCTAAATTAATTTTTTGAGTCACTCTATGTCACTTTTTCAATGGAAGTTCAACTTCAAAATATTTTCTCAAATTTTCAGGCATGCTTATTCTGTATCCAGTAATTTGTATATATATATGATAACTTATAAAACTATGATAGCTATTATACCTTATATATTTTTATAAACATATATATCATATAAACATGATAACTATGTTAACTTTTCAGCTATCACCAGCCATATTATTCAAAAACATAAAATAAAAACCGTTATAAAAAATACAAGTTTAGCATTACAACTGCATCTGATGTCAAATGTATGTACCCACATTTGCTAATCACTGGAATCAAAGTGAGAAAAGTATTTTCCTTTGTGCAGAAACCAATTCACTTTTCTTGTTCAGTACTGATCCACTATCAAAAGTCATGATAAAATACTTTTCATAAATACATAGGTTATACTTTTTTGTAAGATTAGCATCTTTTAATTATATTCCACTTGAATATAGGCATGTTACCTGCATCTTCATGTTTCCAGATTTCTTTGGAAAGTTTTGTATCATTTTTATACCTGGTTGCATTAAAGAATTTAAAGTGGTTTGCAAGCCTAAGCTTAAACAGATTTTCACTAATACAAATGTAAGACTTTTCCATAAGACCAAGAGAAAGAATAAGAGGATTAGGTTATGTTACAGAGGCTTTATATACAACATTTTTTGATAGACATTTAACAGGCATGTGGTTTTTCTAATGCAGTTGCAGGTTGTTTAATTAGCAGTGAGTTTATTGCGCAAAAATTGTTGGCTGTGTGAATTAATAATTGATAGAAGATTTAGCATGTAGCTATAACTAACTTTTATTGTATTTCTGTTGAAAATTTTGTGGAGTTTATGATGTAATAGAAAAAGTAAGCCAATTAAGTTTAAGAAGAGGTGTCCAACTTTGTATACAACATTTTTGCTGAAAAGAGGATTAAATCATATAATATTTCTTTTTCATTTATTAGTACCCTTTTAAGGTTTAGATTTGAATGATATTCAAGATTCGTATAAAATCCAGACTTTTGTAATGCATCTTTATAAATAGGAGCAGTCTTTTGAAAATTCTGAAAGAATCGGAAGATAATCTATGTTCAATTGAGGTTAGTGATTTGTACTGATAGCAAAGACTGATTAAGGCTAATGATAGGGCTTTAATCTATGTATATAAAAGTAATATATATTAATATTAGGTACATAATTTGCATACACAAAGTGCACCTATGCACCAGTTTGTTTTGACTTATTAGCCAATGGCGATTGATCAACCAATGCCATAGATCGATGGTTAAGCCAATTATTTGGTTGCTCATTACCAAGGACATAGGCTAGTAGACCGAGTCACTGCTGGTGTATAGGTACATGTTATATATGTATTTTACATCCCTATTATTATTATAACACCCTTATATAAATATATTAAAACCCCTTATATAAATATATTATAACACCCTTATATAAATATATTAGCCACATATATGATATGGTAATTTTTAAAACCAATTTTTATGTGAAAAGATACTAACATAAATAAAAGAGAGTATAAAATCAGGAATAATTCCAACATGTTCACGTTTGCGCCCACGAGGTTCTGCAACTGTCCAATATAAAGCATCCAAAACATCTTGACCAAAGGAAGATAACAGTTTATCTGCCATCTAATCAAAACTGCCATATAGAAAAATAAACAGATGCATAAACTTGTTCTAAATAAACTATTTTGTATAACTTACATCAAGCATATTGTAAACAACATAAAGTTTTATTATAGACTGTACTCGAACAACATGGTAAATTACAGATGTGTCAACATAGACCATCACTATGGAAACTAGTGCCAAAATGAGACCTGTAAAACATTTATTAGTTAAATAAATTAGCACTATAAAAATACGAGTTAAATCAAAAGAATTCAAAATTAAAACTATTATATAACCTTTCATAAGGTCTATTTTTTGAGCTGGCTCCACCAGATTTCTATAATAAAAAACAAAAAATATGACATTAGATAAGAATAGACAAGAACAGGAATATGATTTCCTTAAAGCTTATAGGGGCTCCAAGATTCCTTGATCCTACAGGAAATCTTATTATATTTCATTAAATTTTAAATTTTCTGATTTACAAAAAAATGGTAAAGGTACAATGTTATGCTAGAAGTAAATGTGTACAAATGTAAGAACAACACAAACCCATAAGTGATTTAGGCCAAAAAATTATTTTAAGTGACACATTGATTTTGATTAGTTCACTGTTTAGTATATAGGTGCTGTTTTACAATACAATTATATAAGAACTATATAATATAAACCTTTTAAAGTTTGAGACCAGTTTTTAAAATTGTTAATCTAGTTTATTTTTAAAATTCGAATTGTGTTAAAAATCTTAAGTTCAAAAAACTCTAATATCTGGATAAGATTAATGATTCAATTTAATGTTATATTAATTTATGTTAATTAAAAACTCTCTATGATAAATATAATCTTCAAAATTTTGAAATCACAAAATTTGTTAGGAATATAGTAAAATAGTATTACAAAAAAATGTAAATATAGAATATAGTTGTAAAAACATGCAATAAGGAATTAACACATTTATTTTATCAATTATAAGATATAATTACCATCTAATTAAAAAACACAAACATGAGTACAACAACAACCTTAACAAAACAAACTCACCCTCTATTGCAAAACAGTAAGCGCTTGACTGCAGTAAATAATGCAAATAATATCCGAATTGGAAGAAATGTAAAAACAAATAAAAATACATCAAAACATAGCAGGAAACCAAACAACAAAAACTAAATGAAAAGTTATATACTTAGATAATTAGATAATTTTAAACAAAAAAGACAAACAACATAATAGTAAGAATTATAATTCAATGACGATATAAATATATTTTTGCTTTGTTTTTTTTAAATATATTTAAAAAAAACAAAGCAAAAATGCAAACTTAACAAACTTAAGCAAAGTTAAAATAAACAATCCATAAACTGAAAAGAGAACAAAATCTAAAAAAAAAATTAAACTAAAAAACTAAAAATTTTAAAGAATAACAAAATAAATAGAAGAAAAACTAGAACAAATTAAAACATTATTTAATGTATTATTTAACTTAATTGTAAGTGAATATTAAAAAAATTATAACAACTCTATCAATCCCTCCCATGAATAAATAGGCCAAAACAAGGGCAGATCCATATTGAGGGGAAAGTTATAAGGGCACCTGCCCCCCTCCTCTCTTGAGATTTTTTTTTTTTTTTTAAGAAATTGATATATTTAACACAGCACAATATTTAAAAATGTAAGTAAATTAGGCTTTTTTAAAGTGCCATAAAATTTAATAAAATTTTGGTGTAAATTTTAATTTTTATCAAAAAGTCAATACAAGGTGCAACAAATGAACAAACATGTGAGCCTTTGTCAAAAAAAAAGTCGGAAGTGCATTTAACCAGGAAGTTCACATCTCCTTCCTTACCATGGTGGGAAAATATGTCCAAAGCGTGTTTCGAGCCTGGATCTCCTGCTTTTAAAGCAAGCGCTCTAAACACTGCGCCACGGCCGTACATTTTTTCAAAACGAACATATTACTTCAGCAATTTTTATTCCAAATAATTTTTGATATACAATTTTTTTGCGACTTTTTTCAGCTAATATGTTAAAATTTCCGCTTTTATCATTTGCGCTAGACACATGGAATTTTTAACTTTACTGTTTTTATCAATGCATCGGAAAGCAAGAAAACTAATTGCTATTTATTTGTGGGGTAAAACAAATTTTTTACAAGTTTTTTATGTAAAAGAATAAAAAGTCATTAATACTAATATTTAAATATAAAATATTTGGTTGCTTTTAATACCCCCTGGAAATAGTTAAAATGCATTAATATTGTTAAAACAATATGAAAACAAACCATTTATCTGATAGATTTCATAAAATACAAGTAAAACCTTTTATTTATTCATGATAATGTCTTAACAAAAGTTTGCATATACTAAATCAACTGTGAAAAATTTATTTGATTTAACGAGACTATTTCAAGTATTTAATTTAATCTAAAACTATTATATTATATCTTAGACTATTTCAAGTATTTAATTTAAGATAATAATCCTTGAGACTGGAAATAGTCTGCACTTTTGTTGGTTTATCCAAATTGTGCATTTATACCCAATAGTTTATTTCCTGATAAACTGTTATTGATGATGCTCCAAAAGCTTGTAGGTAGTGCATTCTTAATTAACTGAACTTTTTTAACAAAATTTTTAGGAGCATATTTAAAACTTTTTTTTAATTTTTTAAATACATTTTTCTAAACAGAGCAATTGTTTTGTTCATTATATCTTCTAATTCGTATTAACGTTGGAAATTGGGCAATATAAAAGAAACTAGTTTATTTAATTAAACTTGATATTTTGTTTCCTTTTGTTTCCTACAATTTTGTTTCCTTTTTTGAGGATTTTTTTTTTTTAGTAGGTAAGTTTAGCTATTTGCCGCAAGTTATTGAAATGCTTTATAAACTAAAAGATGAAAACTGCTGTGGTCAGTTTGTCCAAAAAAATTACTCTAAACGTGGACAAACAAAGGGTGCAACCGCATGGGCGTTCCGGGAAGGCTTGATTATGTTTAAACAAAGTTTCGTTTAAGTAATTAACAGTAAAAGTTTAAAGCAAATGCATTCATTTTAAATATGTTTTTTTTTTTAATTTTCTTACTTTCCTTAAAGTGAAGTAATATTTGTTTGCATATTAAAAATACTTTTAAAAGTTTTCAAAAAAACTTTTAAATTTTACTGAAATATATATATATATATATATAACTACAGTCTTAATTTTTTATTTTCAACGTGTATATATATATATATATATATATATATATATATATATATATATATATATATGTGTATATATATATATATATATATATATATATATATATATGTATGTATATATATATATATATATATATATATATATATATATATATATATATATATATATATATATATATATTTACATATATGCACATACATACATATATTATAGATTCATTTAGTATAGATTCATTTAGTTTCATATATTTTATACTGACTAAAGGTTATAAAGTTGAATAAACAGATATAAGTTTATAAGTACAAAAAGCAATATGATTTAAACTTAAGCATATAAATTTGCTGAATGATCACACACGAGCAGTGAATGCGTAAGGGAAAATTGAAATATACTTTAATAAAGGATTTTTCAAAAAATGTATATTTAGACAATTGTGAAGACAAAAATAAAGAATAGAAGAATATTTAAAACTTTATTATAACAAAAATAAGAAAGTGCATCCAAGCAATACTTACATTACAATAATAAAAAATATACTTTTTATAAACTTATGAAAAATGAACAAATATTTTAACACTTTGTAAAAGTTTGCTATAGAGGTAGGAGATTTCCTTTAAAGACTAATTTCAAAATGGTTTGACAAATCTACTGAGCAAAAGCTTTGAGGAAAATTAAGAATTTTTGCAGCATTAATGCTGCATTTTTATTTACATCATGCATATTATTATTTGCAAAAAATATTTTATTTTTGATGTTGAAACCAATCCAATTAAGAATTAGATTCAACTGATTCTAATTTTAAATTGGATTGTTTTCAACATCAAGAAACTAAAAACAAAAAATCTTTAATTGATATTGAAGAGCAATTTGTAAAATGGGAATACATTATAAAACTTTGTCAATTTCAAGAAAACAGAGATATGCATTTGTGAAACAAACAACAGTCAGCACACTTGAAATGGTTTATACAGAAAATGCAGTAAAAGACTTTTTTAAAAGTATGTCATGTTGGATCTCAAATGAAGCAACACTATATAAAAATTTCGAAAACATGAATCACTTTATAAATAAATAATTACTTTACATTTGCATGTTCTCACTATATCAGTCTATGTATGTAGTACCAGCAGCTCCCTATTTCAGTATGATGTCAGAGTGCTGGTCTAAGTATGCTATTATATGAGTGTATATATATATATATATATATATATATATATATATATATATATATATATATATATATATATATATATATATATATATATATATATATATGTATGTATATATATATATATATATATATATATATATGTATGTATATATATATATATATATATATATATATATATATATATATATATATATATATATATATATATATATATATATATATATATATATATATATATATATACTTCTTACTTTTTCAAGCTCCTTTGGAGTTTTAACAAAAGTATAAACACGTTTTCGACGTTCCATCAACTTCTTCTCATTTTGTTGAAGCAAATAGTCTCGTTTCAATTCATCGCGAAGGTAAGAGAAAAATGATACTTCTAAAAATATTGATTTAAGTTTTATTTAGCTAACATGGATTAATAACTAGAGAATATATATATTTATTCTATAGCATATATGTATTTGCCAACTTTTTATGTTTACCTAAACCCATACAACTTTTTTGCTAAAGAAACCCTCAGTCAATGTAGCAACTCTCTTTCATGTTCTTCCTAAATTAAGTAATTTATGTGCTGAAGCACAAGCAGCACGTAATTTCATTATGACATCAGAGTGTTGACCTTGATATATTGTTATATATATAAATATATATATATATATATATATATATATATATATATATATATATATATACATATACATACATATATATATATACATACAAACATATATATACATATATATACATACAAACATATATATATATATATATATATATATATATATATATATATATATATATATATATATATATATATATATATATATATACATACATAAATGTAGGAGTAAATGAGTGTGCGAGTAGTAATAACAAAAATAGATTTAGAAATTAAAATATTTATTGACTGTTTTTAAAACAGTTTATGCTTTCTTTATCTGAAATCCCTTGAGGAAGACAATTTTCATCCTTTTCAACGCATCACAAATCACCAGAAGTAGGTGAACATGGCCAGTTTGATACTCAAAACCCTGCTACCGTAGACACACAGAGTAATATATTTTCAAGAGTATGACAAAATATTAAAAGCCCTAAATACCTAAACAACTACATTACTTATTAGTCCGACATTTCTCTTATTGTAAGGAATAATTTTCATGGACATATTCAAAAGTGGAGAAGACTGTTATATTTATAGTGCATTCTAAAACCATGACATCATTTTCCATCGTTTAGACTTGATGCTTCAGCGAACCATATATATCAATTACATTCTATCATTAGTTCTATCCTTTTGTTTTACTTACATTAACATTGCTATAGTAGTGACTTTAAATATTTGATTAAAGCCTAAAATTAATATTTCATTTTACTGCAGGTTCACAATAATATATATATATAAATAAAAATATATAATAAATTAAAAATATAAAAAAACAAAAACACAAACAATAAAATTTCCTTACTAGGCTTGTAACATTGTGGCACTTTATTTGTTTCTGAGGATATATTCGAAGCTTTTGAATCCACCATATCAATTTAAAAAAATTTAAAAAACTTTTTTTTAAACTTTTGTTTCTAAATACTAATAAGTAAATTAAAAATCTCAAAAAAAAACTACAAAAAATTAAAAAATTAGATTTTATATGAATCCTCAATAGTTCAGGCACATTTTAAATATACTTATAAAAAATGTAGATGTAAGTATTTAAATGCAAAAAAAAACAACAACTAAAACAAATGATGCTAAAATAATAAAAATGGATTTAAAGGTTCAAAAATTTTTTACAAATTATCAACTCTCAAAAAGCTTGAAAAAGGTAAAATAAAATACTAAATTACATAAATAAACTACTAAAATACCTAATGGTAGCAATAATATATATTTTTAATAATAATTTTTTTTTTTTCAAACTTCGTTTACATATTGGTTTAAATTTATAAATACATTTATGGGGGCATCAATTCTAATTTTGTCAATCTGTGTCAATCACTCCAGTTTACTAGCTTCCAATAGCCACCACAAATGCAATTTTTCTTCCATGCAGCATTCCAGTTTAGATCACAAATACGACTTGAGTTTAAGACTAATATTGAAATGCAACCACAAACACAACACTGTTTAATAACTTCACCATGCATTAGAGAAGATGGTGTAAAGTTAATCCCATCATAAATCTGACGCAAACCTCCTGCTACTGTTGATATTCCAACATACAATGGATTTTGAAATGATTTCTGCTTCAAAAGAAACCATGGGTGAGTTGTACAAGCTTCAAACTCCTCAATCTTGAGTTGAGACGATGTAGAGTAGGTTAATTGTTCTAAAACTCCATTACTCGGGTAAGTTGAGGGTATATCTAAATACATCATTGGGAGACTATTAAAAGGTAGATCATTCATTACAATGTCTATATTCATGTCACCTTCACAAATTTGCTGAAGCTTGATGGAAAGCTTATATAATTGTGACACAACATCAATTGAGTTGGCCATTGCAATAAAAATTGCATGCACATGCAATACCTGGGGATGTTTTTGATACATAATATAAAACAAAAGCAAAAGTCTGCGCAATAAAATCATGGTAGTTGGGTCTAAATATGTTATAATGGATTTCCAATTTTGAGCACTGTGATTTTTACACAATATTAATCTAACAAAATGCACCCCATAGTCAATAACCCACTGAATGAGAGGCCTATGAACTGAATCAGTTAGCAAACTTAAATTAATATCTTTTAAATCAATAAGTTGAGATATTTTATTAATCTCGAAATCTTTGGTTGATGCACATAATTTTTCAATTGAATCCATTAACATTTGCTCTTTTCCACTTTTCAGCAAGGAAGAAATATAAGTATAAATAGAACATACTATAACAGAATATGTAGACTCTAGGACAGAGCAGTAGTCTTTTTTGGCAAAATAAATTAGCAGCTGCAGTTGGTGAAATGTTGAACCTGCCATCAATTGCTTAATAGAGTTATCACAATCTTTCATTGTCTCTAAAAAGCATTGTCTTATTTGGTCTATTAGATGTTTTTCAAGAATTGAAATGGATAAAATTAGAGCCCATGGAATAAAAGATTCAATTAAACTATATTGCATCATAGTCACTATATACTTTATTTTTAGCTTATCAATACCAGTCATTGGTTTGTCAAAATTTGAAAAATGTGGAACAATGTATAATATTCCATTCCCATCTTTAGTAAAGACAAATAAACCATGTTGACATGGTGAGAGAACAGCAGCAACAACCTCAGTGTTTAATTCTAGAAACTGGCTGGAATAAAAAGGTCTTGTCCAATCGTAAGCTGAGTAAAATTGCAATGAACTAGAATCAGTCAACAAAAACATTGGCATAAAAGAAATATCACTGATTCCTTTATTAATAAAATTAATATCAGTTGTGAGTCTCAAGGTTTTAGATTGTGGAAACCTTATGTTATGCAAGCATACACATGAATCAGCAACTGTTTGGTTTTGTTGTGTTTGAACAGGAAAACGGGGATGAAGTTTAACTGGTTCTTTCTTCACTTCAAATAATTGAATCAAACTACCATTACTTGGATGCTGTAAGTTTACAAGAACTTTATCTGTACCATTAATTGATAAACATCGAAAGCAGACTATTTCAAAATTCCCTGAAGATAACTGAGGTACAAGGCAAGGCCACACATCAGTAGCAAAACTGATGTCACTGGTTGATACAATTTTCATACTAACTGAAAATAACTCAATCATATTGGGGTCAGTATGAACTGCAACAAACAATTTTCCATTAACATTTAAAATCATATCAGCAGAATGAACATAAGATTTGTACAACACTAGCTTTGTTTTATGAATAATAGGAGGTTCTTGAATGTCTTCTTGTACAATTGCTACATGAAGAACTCCTGTTGATGTTATAGCTGCAAGACCAATATCATTATTTTCTAGTCCAATACCTATATTTTGAGGAAATTTTTTTGAAAAATCTTTATGAAACGTTTTTTCTAAATCCCAATTAAAAATATTTCTATTGTTAATGACAAGTAGTTTTATAATCATGTCTCCGTTACCAAGATTAAATTCACTTATACATTCCCAAGAGTTTATAAAATTATTAAGTCTTTCGTTTGACCATATTTTGCAAACAGAATCTAAATCAACGGTAATAAACTTACATGTTCCTTTCACCCATTCAATATGTTCAATATAATTTTGATGATTAGTTTTTAATGTGAAAACATCGTCAGGAGTGTTTGGGTTAAATATATACACAGAATCAATTCCTGATCCATTAGATTTACAACATGTATTTGGAGCATATAAAATCCAGTTTGTAGATGACCAGCTACATTTTGGATTACTCGATATTGTTTGTTTGGCATCATCACAAATTAAGTTTAGTTTATATACTGGAAGCATTTTTCTTAAATGTATAAAAAACAATTATAGTAAAAATAATAATAGGAAATATGTAGAGTATAATTTTTACTTTACAACATTTCAGGTTTATGTCCAATATGTAATAGGGATCAAATAAATAAATAAATAAATAAATAAATAAATATATATATATATATATATATATATATATATATATATATATATATATATATATATATATATATATATATGTATATATATATATATATACATATATATATATATATATATATATATATATATATATATATATATATATATTTTTTTAATTTTAATTCACCTCCTCAAGGCCGAGAAGGCCACTACAGACGAGGAGGCTACTTATTTGTGGCTATAACCCTCTCTCAACTCTATAACTCCGAAACACGAACCTTGACGAACAAGGCCGCTGCGCGGAGAAACAAGTTGAGCGCGGTACTACCAGGGACGTGGTGGGGATTGAACTCGGAACCACTCGTTTATGAAGCGAGCGCTCTACCACTACACCACTACCGCATTTTTTTATTTTATTTAGTGATAATAAGTATTTTACAAGAATTACAGTTAATGACATGCATATATATGTATATATATATATATATATATATATATATATATATATATATATATATATATATATATATATATATATATACATATATATGCATGTCATTAACTGTAATTCTTGTGAAATACTTATTATCACTAAATAAAAAAAAAAAACATGAAAGAAATCAATAAATAATAAAACATAAAAAAAAGTAGGTCACAGCTACAGAGTCATGTATTTCTAGCAAAAAAAACTAACCCATTAATTTATTTTTATTAAAGTACTTTTGTTAATACTTTAATAAAAATTTAATTCCATTCCAACTTTGAAATTTTATGTTTTTTTAAATAAATTTATTATTTCTTTTGTTTAATAAATACCAATATATATATATATATATATATATATATATATATATATATATATATATATATATATATATATATATATATATATATATATATATATATATATATATATACATATATATATATACATATATATATATATATATATATATATATATATATATATATATATATATATATATATATATATATATATATATATATATATTTATCTATTGAGCACTCTTTAAAATATACATTATTATACATGATAATATAAAGAAATCATCTTTAATATTTACATATATGCACCCACGTATATATATATATATATATATATATAGATATAGATATATATATATATATATATATATATATATATATATATATATATATATATATATATATATATATATATATATATTTATCTATTGAGCACTCTTTAAAATACACATTATTATACATGATAATATAAAGAAATCATCTTTAATATTTACATATATGCACCCACGTATATATATATATATATATATATAGATATAGATATATATATATATATATATATATATATATATATATATATATATATATATATATATATATATATTAATAAAATTATTTTAAAAATCATTTTACTATAACTATATCTATTTTACTATTATATTAAAAAATTATTATACTTACAAATTAATAAAAATACATAACAAGAAATTATTTTTAAGCCGTTTTTAACTTGAAAAATTTATTTATTTTTATTACTTTTAATAATTAACTTTTAATATCTTAAAAATTTAAAAAAGTATTTAGGAAAAGAGGAGAGAGATAAACACAAAAAAAAAACAATTTTTTGATAAACTTATTTTTTCTTTCTCTGCATGCGTTTTTTAAATTTTTTTTGAAACTTTCCTTTTTTCTTCTTTGCTCGATATGGCTCCTCACCTCCACTACTATCATCCTCGTCAACTCCATGAAATGAACCTATTTTAACTGCTTCATCAAGAGAATTCAGTTCTTTAAGATTTTTTTTATCTTTTTTAGTAAGCGTAAGTCTTCGCAAATTATCTTCCTCAAAACATCTTCTTTCTTCTTCTTTTTCTTGGATTCTTGCTCTCTTGCTATTTCTCCTACTGCTTATCTCTTCAGGTGCCTCACTGTACTCTGTTCGCAAATCTTCAAGTAAACTTTTACTCAAAAGCTGTTTTTTGGACTTCTGAAGTCTTTTTTCCTTCTTAGAGAGTGGATCATCATCGTCATATGGTACAGCAGTAACTTTAGGTGGAACATAAACTTGCTGAATACTTTCTTTTTCTTTTAATACATCATTTTCATCTTCATCGCTACTAGCACCTTCTTTAGTTATGAGATCATCAACGTTTGGCTTAAAGCTTAAAGGATGAACATCCCCTTTAAGTGATTCAATGGAAGCCATTTTTATCAGTTTATCAATTTGATAAGTTAACTTTTTGTCAATTGGGCGTATCTTTTCAAGAATAGTTCTTGTTCGAACTAAGCGCTCAACACAAGAATAATCTGCCAGAGACTTGCCATCCATTTTAATTAACATAAGATATGCAACATCAATTAAATACTCAAGAAAAAGATGACATTTGGTTTCAAGATAGCTCATCCCATCATCACGAGATATTTCACCAAATTTTTCCTGTAGACTATTTATATAAGGTATTGAATCTTTGATCTGAGCATCCAATGTTGTCAGTAATGAAACAAACTCAGGTAAATCACTTTCCACTAAATTTTTTGTGCAAATCATGCTATAAAAATCATATGATAAATTATTACTATATAATATTATAATAAAAATGAATCACACAACTTTTTAAAAATTTGAAGTTAATAAATAAAACATCAGAAATATATATATATATATATATATATATATATATATATATATATATATATATATATATATATATATATATATATATACATATATATATATATATATATATATATATATATATATATATATATATATATATATATATATATATATATATATATATATATATATATATATATATATATATATATATATATATATATATATATATATATATATATATATATATAGCATTAAGCTTTTCCAGAAAAAAGAATCAAAAAATGAAGAATAATTAAAAAAAAAAAGAATTGTTGTCCCAGCCCAAACTCTCTGTTGATGTAGTCACACCCCTTTGTGGCTGTAGGGTATAAGATAGTCTATGTATGTTCTGAAACCCTGGACAGCAGGCTATTTTAGTATGACATCAGACATTTTATCTAAACACACACTTATACATAAATATATATATACACAAATGTATATATATATATATATATATATATATATATATATATATATATATATATATATATATATATATATATATATATATATATATATATATATATATATATATATATATATATATATATATAGCATTAAGCTTTTCCAGAAAAAAGAATCAAAAAATGAAGAATAATTAAAAAAAAAAGAATTGTTGTCCCAGCCCAAACTCTCTGTTGATGTAGTCACACCCCTTTGTGGCTGCAGGGTATAAGATAGTCTATGTATGTTCTGAAACCCTGGACAGCAGGCTATTTTAGTATGACATCAGACATTTTATCTAAACACACACTTATACATAAATATATATATACACAAATGTATATATATATATATATATATATATATATATATATATATATATATATATATATATATATATATCCTTATATCGTAGTCAGAAGAAATTTTTATGGTAAAAAAACCTTTCTCCTTCAACAACATTTAAGTGATTTCAATATTTAGGCTGCATTTTATTGTTGTTGAAAATTTAAAACAATTAAAATAATGCAGAAGTACATTAAGTTTTATTGATTTTTAAAAACCGCAATAATAACTAGAAAGTTTGTTTAGTTAATAGTGTTAATGCTTTTGTTTTTTTTAAACATATTTTTAAAACATACGCGGAGTGTTGTTACATTAACTATCTTATACCCTGCTGCTACAAGGGAATGCTGCTACATCAACTATCTTATAGCTTGCTGCTACAAAGAAGTGCTGCTACATTGACTATCTTATAGCCTGCTGCTACGAGGGATTGCTGCTACATTGACTGAGGGTTAGGTTTGGGCAAGCAATCTACCAGTTTAAAAAAAAATTTATTCAAGTTTTTAAAGTTTTTTTGGTTTGGTTTATTAGCGTTCCCTTTAAAACTACAGTTCATGGAAGAAACTTCACAGAAAAATACAAACTACTGGTCAAAGGTTTGGGTTCACTTGCGCATCATACAAACATGGTGGAGGGTCAGTCGTGGTCTGAGGAAAAAGAACAGCAGGTTGTGGATTTGTCTTTCAACAGGATAACAACCCTAAACACAACTCTGCTAAAATTATATCACAGCCAAATAAAAATAATTAAAATAGATAGAACAGCATCTTCAGTTGATTTAAACAAAATCAAGATGTTCTTGGACAAGTTAGATCTAGGAATCATATATGAACTGGGTCATTGCAGATATTGATTCTATGGATGCACAAAGTATGTGCTACTGTTATAAAAGCAAATGGAGAATACTTTGAAGAATAAAAAATTAAAAAAAACAACTGAAATACTTATTATAATGTCTTATTTTGTTGAAAGATTATTTTATAGTCAAAATATGAGTAATAAATTTTTTTTCGAAAAATCTGTTTTTTAAATAAAATTAAAAAATACTGACGATCTTCAAAAGCTCCTGTTTTGCTAAAAATATGAGAACATCTTACTGCAAACAATATAAATAAATACATACAATTAGAAAAATCTTATTACAATCTGCATATTGTTAAATCTATCAAGTGAATCCTATATATATATATATATATATATATATATATATATATATATATATATATATATATATATATATATATATATATATATATATATATATATATATATATACATATATATATATATAAATATATATACATATATAAATATATGTATATATATATATATATATATATATATATATATATATATATATATAATGATTAAATATATATATATATTTAATATATAAGATATATTATATAATAATATATATAATAGTGTATATATATATATGCATATATATATATATGCATATAAAATTAAATACAATATATATATATATATATATATTGTATTTAATTTTAAACAATGCCAATTGTTTGGTTGTCTTTTGAATTGATATATTGCCTGTTAAACCAAAACCCTCCCTCAGTCAATGTAGTAGCACTCCTTGCATGTTCTTGATGCTCAAGATGATGAAAAATGTGACTGGACCCGGCCCCGGCTCCAGTCAAATATCAACTCTGGTTGCTTACTTTTAAGAATATATATATATATATATATATATATATATATATATATATATATATATATATATATATATATATATATATACACAAGTATATATGCGCATTTAGATAAACACTGAAATAGCCTGCTGTCATAGGCATTAACACATACATCAACTATTTTATAGCCTGCTGCCGCAAATGAGTATCCCTACATCAACTGAGGGTTTGGGATGGGACAGCAATCTTTTCTTTTACTTTTTTTTTTTTTTTTTTCTTATTAAGAAAAAACTGTATGCTATAAAGATAAGCTATACTAGTAAGCAATTGCTGATATATATGTTACGCACAGATCCTGAAATCGCACAATATCACAAACTGTGCAACTTTTTGCTTATTTCGTGAAATGGATAGCGCTGTTGCACAGATTGTGAAATGTTAAACTTTTATTGTTTTTTTTTTAATACATACCCTGCGTAATAAATATTATTTTTAATAAATATATGTTTTTTTAATTAATAGACTACCTGCCCAACCCAAACCCTCAGTTGATGTAGCAGCACTCCATTGCAAGTCAGGCTATTTGTCAGTCGATGTAGCAGCACTCCATTGCGAGTCAGGCTATAAGATAGTCGATGTAGCAGCACTCCATTTAAGTCACAAGTTCTTATTTAAGTCAATATTAATATTTATTAGACATAGTATAATTAAATATTTAAAAAAACCTGTAAAAATTCAACATTTCATAATCTGCGTAAGAGCACTATCCATTTCACAAAATGAACAAAAATTGCACATTTCGTAAAATGCGCGATTTCACGATCTGTGCGTAACATATATATACTATAATAGAAATATATACATATATACATAGAGAGAGAGAGAGAGAAATATATACATATAAGTTTTTCTTTAAAAAGCAAGAATAAAACAAATAACAAATAACCTGCCCAAACAAAGCCCTCAGTCAATGTATACACTGAGGCAGAAGGACTAATGTAAAAGTAATAAAACTATAGATATTTAAATTTTGAAAAACTACAACATCTGATATAATTTAGTAACATCAAATAAGAACAATAAATATATATAAAAAAGTATAAATAGTAAATATACAATGAATATATATATATATATATATATATATATATATATATATATATATATATATATATATATATATATATATATATATATATATATATATATATATATATATATATATATATATATATATATATATATATATATATATATATATATATATATATATATATATATTATACAACAAATTTATAAAACTTAATTAGAACAACTAAGTTGATTAATAGTTGTATTATACAACATTTCTGCACAAACACTATAGTAACTCTTTGATTTCAATTTTTGGATAATAACTTCAACCACATCATGCTGAAAATCCCCTTGAGTAATTCTAAATTTCTTAAATGATTCAAATACTACAAAAAACTCATGCTGAATATGTTGTTTAAGAAACGTATCTCTGCTTCCGTGAAGGGCAGAAACTCCATTAAAAAATGCATCTAAGCATACATTACCAAATAAACAGTGATCTGGTCGATAGTTCCATGTACAAGATAACAAATATACTTGATTTGGATGTTTTGCAAAATATATGTTTAATATATCTTGATCACCATATGTTATGTTAGACTTGCTTATTTTATAAATATCTACAATAGCCTTTTCCCAATTCAAACTTCTCATTCTAGTTAAATTCATAAGCATAACCCCAGAATTTAGGCCATGAGGATTAAAATATATATTTCTAGAATATTTATTATACCAGCAGTTTGCTTTAGTTTCACACTCTTGAGCTAGTCCAATTATTTGGTTTGAGTTCATTTGACTGATCATCTTCCACAATTTTTCTATAGGTTTAAACATTAAAACATCTGTATCAATATAAATAACTGAATCAATACTAGCTAAAATACTAGATAGAAATAACCGCTGAGTTGCACAAACTTTGAAAGTTTTTTTCCATTGTGATTTTTTAACAGAAGATGGATAGTAAATATTATACATAGAATAGATCATCCATCGATTGGACCATGCAGGCCATGTTTTTAACTGGTTTTCAAAAGGTTTAGAATTATCACTGAAAATATGGAAATAAAGATTATAATCAGTAGTTAGTGTAATAGACATCAAGGCTACCAGTGCCTCCTGAATTTTATCATTTCCACAAGCAACTGTTGCTATATGAATAGACTCTTGGTACTTAGGCAGCTTTAATTGAGTAAAACATTTTGACTTATTTTCATGAATAACAATGTTTAGATTTTGAGTTTCATCTTCTCTGCCACGTCGTTTCTTAACTTCACCATCACCAAACATATTACGAAGTTTTTGTAATGGTTCAGGCAGTTCAAAACTGTGATTTAATAATTTATAATAGATAAACAGCCAAATGGTTGTAGCAATAAACAAGATAAGTAGCATATAGAGACGCCTTCTGCGATCATACCAAAAGCGTGATTTTTTTTTACCATTATTTATATCTGGAAGATGCTCTGTGACACATTGAACATCAAGATTCATTTTTCTTTTCATTTCATTTTTTAAACTTACTTAGCTAAATATTTTAAAATATAAGTGATATCTTAATGTATAACAACTATCTAATATAATATATCTATTACACATTTTTCTCCCATTCTACATATAAATTAGGATAAAATCCAACAATGATTGATATTATAAAACCATGTTGTCTGTCCTTATAATTAAACAACAGTATTAACAACTAGGCTTGTTATAACATTGAGTTAAAAACTAATGATTTTAGATATGAAGTAAAAATATATCAATTAGGTTTAAAACTTGGTTTACGCAAAATTTGGAATACGGCTTGCCGTATTGATACTATGAGTAAAATTCGTAACAACTTGTTACGAATTTTAAATATTTCTACTGTCGAAAGTCGCTTTTTTGACTAATGCTTTTTTGAAAAATGCATTAAAAAATGCCAAGTCGACTAATGCTTTTTTGAAATTCACGTATTTTTGAAGTTGACTAGAATTCGATTTAGTGGAAATATGGAAATATTTTATTTTTTTTTAAATAAAGTTTAGTAAAAATAGTTAAACAATTTATATTTGCTTTCTATTTTTTATTATCATATCATTTAAATAATAATGAAGCAAAACAATATCAGAGAAGGTCTGCTCAGACAATGGTATAATTTATTCCAAGACCCCAATGGTTTACGGACCACCTTAAATACTTGCTATATATCAAAATGTCTATACAATTATATTTACAATGTGAATGTATAGATGACATTGCTTCTAATTGTTAAAAGAAAGAAAAATAAAAAATCACACATAGAAATGGAAATACCCAACATTAAGAATATTTTTCTTAGTAAGATATGGTATGACGACAAAAATATTGAGAACAGTTGCAATTTTCATTTACCAAACTATAAAGTAATATAAAGTAAACGGAAAAAAACACATACTGAAACTTTTTAGTCCCTGTGTTTTTAGTCCCTATTTCAACTTATTGCACCTCCTAACATCGAGTGCAATCCTGTCCGCTTTCTCTATGCTGTCTTTCTAACACGACTACTTCTGTATTTCACTCTAACATATCTTCGTTCTTCCTAAACTTACTTTACTCTTGATCCGTAGAGCGGGTTATGACGCTCCTTGGGGAGTCGAACCTGTTTTTGCGGTACCTTGGTAATGTGGCCTCAATATGGCAACTAGCCGGAGGAGGATAAACCACAATACCAAACTATAAAGTAATTCAATAAATTAGGACCACGGGCAAGGTTTGTGTATTTTTATTAAAAACTCATTACTTTTTTTTTTTTTTTTTTTTTTTTGTATATATTTAGGTGCTCCCAGAAGTCTTTACGGTCTTATCGTAGAGCACTGCGGGTGAGCATTTAACAGGAAGTTTACGCCTCCTTCCGTACCAATGTCGCTTGTTGGGCTAGAGCTGGCATCGAACCTCTGAGTTCTGAGCCAGAACTCTAATCACTGCGCCACGGCTGCTCCATAAAGTTATTCCATAAAGTGAAATCAGATTCAAGTTTAAACATTAATGGTTATGAATCTTTGTGCATTGAACTCGTCAATAAAACCTCATTTAAACCGCTTTTTACAAACCACCTTCAGGTTGAATTAAAGTGTTTGAAGACCACAATAAAAGTGTTATCAAATACTAAATTCATGGGCGCCGGTGATTTTAGCAACCTTTTACACTTGTAAATTATATTTATTTTGAGAAGTGAAGGAGGTAAATAAATCTTATATATCGTCGGGGATAGTGTAAAACCACGTAACTAGCATTGGATAATACCGCGTATCTACAGTACAGTTTTTTTATTGGAGAAGATTTAAAAAGGTTAAAAAAAAGTATTATTCATGATTTTTGTAATGTCAACAATAAATATTTTGTGTTAAAATTATTAATACCCAAATATATTAGCCAATGCCAGTTACGCGGATTTGTACTCACAATATATCTCTGACGATATATTATGCATACTTAATGAGAGTTTATAAGTAAAAAAGAATTGAAATTTTAATTACTGAAAATAAATGTTAAAAATAAAAATTTCTAAGTTTCATTTAAGAATTGTTTCGCAATACAAAAAAATTTCATTAAAGAATTTCTTTATAAACTATATTAAGAGTACAACAATAACGGCTTTCTTTAAATGCAAGACACGTTACGCGCATTTATTTATTAACTGAATTACTTAACTATTTGTAAACCGCCGCGGTGGTTAATAAATAGTGTAGTATTTTTATGACACAGTGGAGTATTTGTATGAGTATATATATAATCTGTATAAGTATATAATGAGTATATATATAATTTGTATGAGTATATATGTAATTAAGACTCTCCTTCCTTTTTGATCTTAAAAAATTGTGAAGTGCGGCAACAGCTTTGTTATATGCACGACTTTTTTTTGCTGAAGCAATAGGTCTACTAAAAATCCGAAATCTGGATGCAGTTATACCAAATGCATTCTCAACTATTCTCATGAAACGCGACAAGCTGTCGTTAAATATTCGTTGTTTGTACGAAAGGTTTGAAAATGGATATGGTTTTATCATGAGAGGATTTAAACCAAATGCATTATCTCTAACAAACACAAGCAATATTGTTTCAGTACTACTTGCTTTAAATGCCGAGAAATGCCCAGCAGATCATTTCCAATAGCATAACCGAGTTGACTGTTTGCATGTACATTACCCTCACTTTGTTCTCCATAATTTCCTATATCTAATAAATATTTTGCATTGCGCTCAGCCAAAAGAACAATACTATGTCTTTTTTTGTTGTTATTTGTAGTTGCATAACTACATGTTTTCCATCAATAGCACCTGAGTAATGGGGGAAATTGCATTTGTTATTGAAGTTAGTAGCTATTTTTATGCATTCTTTTTCAAAAGTTGGTGGGTCTATGTATTTCTTTTTAAAAAGTGATACCCATATAGCTTTACATGTTTCACTTATAATTGTTCCGACAACTGAAGGGCTCGTGCGGTAGTTAATAGCTATTGTAATCTGTGCGTCACTAGTTACCAAAAACCGCATTGTAACACAAAATCTATCTGGAGCAGATATAAAATATAGAATCTCTCAAACGTGTAGATTTTGTTTTAATCAACGGACATACCGAAGACAATAGTTTTTTTAATATTTAGTTAATAAAATAGTTTGTGGTAAAACAATTTTAAAATTTTCTTATCTAAAATCGATTCTTATATATTTTTTGCAATTTGTTTCTTATATGCAATAAAAATTTTAAAAATAGCAATTTTATTTTTAAAAGCATCCCGGGTAAACTAATTGTTGCCATTATTTATTTTTGATAAAGTAGCGCAAAAAAAGTATCCCTATAATAATGTGGGCGTTTTTTCATGACAAAAAAATTCGCTTTGCGCGACTTATTTCGCCTTGTGGAAAACGGCCTTATAATTCAATTATATTAAAGGGTTTATCCAAAATATAAAACATTTTTTAAGAAAATATAAAACATTTTTTAAGAAAATATAAACATTTTTTAAGAAAATATAAAATATTTTTTAAGAAAATATAAAACATTTTTTAAGAAAATATAAAACATTTTTTAAGAAAATATTAAGAAAATATAAACATTTTCTAAGAAAATATAAAATATTTTTTAAGGAAATATAAAACAATTTTTAAGAATATATAAAACATTTATAATATAAATATAAAACAAACTTTAAAAAAATTATAAAATATTTAAAAAGAAATAAAACAATCTTTAAGAAAATATAAAACATTTTAGTTGATTTAGGGTGAAATGCAAGAAGCGAACTTGAGTCAAGCTCGACTTGAACTTTACATTGCAACCAATAGCGACAGAGTATGGGTTTTTCCCTCAAAAAATACTCTGCCGCTATTGGTTACAAAGTAAAGTTCAAGTCGAACTTGACTCAAGTTCGCTTCTTGCATTCGACCCTAAATGTTTTATATTTTAAAATAATGTTTTATATTTTAAATGTTTTATATTTTAAAAATGTTTTATATTTTAAAATATAAAAAATTTAATTAACTAGTTAAGTGTTATATATTCTTTAATGTTTATAAATTCTTAAAAAATGTTTCATATTTTCTTAAAAAATGTTTTATATTTTCTTTTATAATTTCTTAAAAAATGTTTTATATTTTCGTAAAAAATGTTTTATATTTTCTTAAAAAATGTTTTATATTTTCTTAAAAAATGTTTTATATTTCTTAAAAAATGTTTTATATTTTCTTAAAAAATGTTTTATATTTCGCATAAACCTTGTAACTGATTATTAATAGTAAGAAGCCGGTGTTGTCATGACAACTAAGAAATATCTTTTGAAGTACTTTAGAGATTGTATTTCTCTTTGTTTGGTTATATTTACTTTAAGTGATATACTTTTATAAACTTTTTATTTTGTTACAAAAATATTCTCATATTTAATTTAAAACAATATTAATTTTTAAAATAAACTAAACCCACAAGTAATTTTAAAGTAAGTAAATATGCGATAATATTTTTTTCAATCTAATTAGCTTTGCGCAGTGGCATTACCATAGTCAATGAGGTTAAACCGAGACGTGGTTATTGCTAGTTGAAAACTTTTCCCAATACCCCGCTAGACGACGTGAAATACCGTCGGCTATGCAATTTTTAACGGTCTGCTTGCGGACCTTCTCATATGTAATACAATACTGTATTTGTCGCCATTCTAACCTAATTTTTATTGCGTTTATTAATTAGGTATATTAGGTTAATAATTTAGGCAAGCTATAACTATTTTACTCTAAAAGTAGAGAGGTATTGGAATTCGGACAGGAATTCCAATACGTCCTGTGACTATAACGGCTGAAAATACAATTTTTCAGGCTAGAATGCCAAAAAATTTTTTTTACCTTTATTTTTTATAATAAACTGTGTAATTTAAATCATAAAATCATTGTCCTACACAAATCAAATCAAATATATTTCGAAATAAGTTATAACATTTCAAGGAAATTTACAATAGTACAAATACTAATATAAAGTAAATACCTCAATATACAACGTAAAGTTATAGTCAATGATGAAAGTAATAATAATAACTGTTATTAATAATACTAATAATAGCAATAATAACAATAATAGTAAAAACAATAATAATAATAGTAATAACAATAACAACAGTAATAACAATGATTGTGATAAGAATAATAATAGCAACAACAATAACAAAAATAATAATTATAACAATAATAATAATAGTAACAAAATAATAACAATTATAATAAGAGAAGAATTTCATAAATAAAGACAATAACAGCAGCAAAAAAATTTAGTAAAGAGTGATGGCAACAACAACGATTTAGTACGAAGTAGAATAGTTGAGAAATAGAGAATTTTTGAATGAAAAGAGATAAATAGATAGATAAATAACGAATGCCAACCCATTCGTACTAAAATTAATAATATTAGTATAGATAGTTAGGTAATGAAGAACTATAGTTAAAGCTAGGTAAAAAATACAAATTTCTAAACGAATATAATATAGTTTTATTTGCAATAATCAGTTATGAAAAGCTTTCTGAAAATTTAGAAATACTGTGGTGCAAAAAAATTGCTATCCATTTTTGGGCAACAAACTAGTTCTTTTTTCATCAAAAATGCTACCTGGCTATGAGAATAATCTTATTTTAAGGTTTACTTAAAATTTAAATAGTTAAAACAGCAGCCGTGGCGCAGTGTTAGCGCACTGGCCTCAGAAACGTAAGATCCGTGGTTCAAGCCCCACCTCTGGGCAAGTTTTGCGAGATTGGTTGGGAAGGAGGCGTGAACTTCCTATTAAATGCTCTTCCGCGGTGCTCTGTGATAAGACCGTAAGGACTTCTTGGGGCACCAACTTAAAAAAAAAAAAAAAAAAAAATGCCTAGTACTGTAAATATTTTGATTTTAACCTAAATGAAAAAATAGATAATAACGAAACTCGATAAACTTTTATTTATCTAGTGTTTTCTTTCGAAAATTGGTGTTTTGAAATTTTTATTTGTCTTCAGGTTTTAATGGTTCATAAAATTTGCAGCTTTTTAAGTTTCAACAGCTTTCTTGTTTTCTTTATTTTTAGTTAAATAGTGTTTGATTAGAAGTCTTGGTAAAAATAGCTTCATCAAGAAAAATGGATAATTACTATCTATTAGTCAACATATATGCTGCGGTAATAACTGCAAAGCCTATATTATGATTCACCCATAACATTGCTATTTTTAGCAGATTTGACGCAGATTCTAGAACGTTGGACTATTTAGATGACACAAGCATGTAAAAGTCAAACTCAGTGTTTTTTATGAAACTAGCTTGTTTTAATAAAAACAAAACACAAAAGCAGAAATTGTTTGCTTTGTAACAAACTTTAACATACTCTTCTAACTTAATATTCAAAAGTTTAAAATTCAGGTATATTATTTAAAATATATATCGCGACGTTAGAATTATCTTGTTCTATCTCCACTTTCTGAAAAAGTTGAGTTAATGATAGTGTTGTGTTCCTCAAAATAATGTCTTTCTACTGAATTGACACCTAAGTTATAAGTAAAACAGTTGCGGAAAAAACATAAGTTATAAAAGAAAATTTATACGCCGTCTCCTAAAGTTTTTGTTTTTTAAATCGTTTTATCTCAAAACTAAAAAATGTGGAGATAGAACAAGATAATTCTAACGTCGCGATATAGTAACTTGATTTATTCCGAAGTTTTTCCGTCGAAAATACTCTATTAATACATTGATCTCAAAATAATTACTTACACTGATCTCAAAGTAATTGTTATTTTGAAATCAGTGTATTAATACTGCCGCTATTGGTTGCAAAGTATTTTTTCCGATTCCTCCTACAAATCAACGCGTGTTTTGTTTTTTAAGTCTAGCGCGATTATGAACTTTTTAAGTATGGTTTACGCATGTTTTTTGTTTTGAAGGTTTTTCAGTCTGACTTTGCCAGACTTCAAAAAAACTGATCACCCATATTCATTCTCCCATTCTCCCTCCGTATCCTATTAAATCACTTGATACTATTTTTGTCCACAGATTATTTCACCTATTAATAGGGAATTTTGTCACGTGACATTTTATTGCGGTAAAAATTAGTTCGTTTGTTTTTGAAAAACTTCGCCCAAAAAATGGAGGAAATGATTTTAAGTGGGTGTCGAAGAATAAAAACCCACCCATGAAAATTAATAGTTTATACATATATATAGATGTTATTCTTTTTAGAAAAGGATGTACTACAATAATTTGTTAGGGGACAATGTTTTGCTTTAGAATTGATAAAGTTATTTAATTTTAAATGTTTCAGTTTTGTTTAAATACAATTTAATTAAGATAATTCTATCATCCCCACATAAAAATAGATTCAAAATTTTGGTATTATTTTATAGTAATTTAGTAGGGCGGGTTTTTTGTTTTTTTTTATTTCCCCCGTCTTTATATATTTTTAAGTGCAATCAAAACTTGATAAGATAAATTTGCCGTTTTTCTTTAACAAATTAACAAATCTAAAGATTTTTTCACACATTGAATTATATTTTTTATAGCTGAGATTTTATTAAAAATTTTTACTTACAGCATTCTAAAGTTGGTTTATTTTTTGTTGTTGATGTTGCTAACCAGTTAGTTATTTAATTACAACAGTTAACAAGTCTTATTTATAATATACAATTTACTTTTTTTACAATTTACATAACTTTTAAGTTATATATATATACAGGGCCGGCGCGAGTAGGGGTCATAGGGGGGTGCCATTACAACTTTTGCCGTCTAAAAAAAAAAAAAAAGGTCCTCGTTTTTTAAAATTTACCGACTGCTATAACGACATTTGCCGACTGAATTTACCGACTAACCTATCGACAGGGTCTACATTTGCCGACTAACTGGTCAAAAAGGGTCACATTTGCCGACTAAGGGTCAAATTTGCCGACTAAAATGGGGGGTGGGGGGGTGTAACACCCCCCACACCCCCCTATCGCGCCGGCCTTGTATATATATATAAATCGTTGACTAACATTTTTTTTATTTGTGTGAAAATAAATTTTAGTTTTATCCTTATTTTGTACGTCTTTCGATTTTTTCGGCCTGTTTTATTTTAGTACACGTTTTTCACTTTATAATTTATTAAAGAAAGTTCAAATAAAAGTTAATTTAAATTAATATTTCTCCTCAAAGTTTTTGTTATTCTTAACGTATTATAAATTAAATCATTTAAGTAATATTAAAAATTAAACCATTAATATTACTCTCTTTTAATAATTAGTTTCTATATTTATTTGCAAAACAATTAGGGGAGAACGGGCAACATGGCGAAGGGGACAAGATGACAAACTGCTTTGCCTGGCCAAATCCTCCAATAAAAAATAGTTTAAATAGATAGCAATGTATACTGGATATATGAATCTTATTTTAAATAACATTTGGATTTTGTAAACACATAAGTTTATTTTTACGATTTTTGAAATTTTTTTTTTTAGTGTTTACTATTCCAGACTGAGCTGCCTTTTGAATTCTTTAAAACTTTTATTTGGTACAAATACATTTTTCAATAATATTATAGTAAATGTATGTGCAGCTGTTGTAGGGTATTAGAGTTATCGATTGAATTAGAATAACTGTGTCAGCGAGGCAAGCTGGTCGGGGCAAGATAACGAGTCTGCCATCTTGCTCCTTCATATTTTGTTAAATATAAAATATCTTAACTAAGTAATACTAAATCTTTTTTTACACAAAAAGAAACTATATAAACTAAAACACGCACTGTATATATATATAATATATATATATATATATATATATATATATATATATATATATATATATATATATATATATATATATATATATATATATATATATATATATATATATATATATATATATATATATATATATATATATATATATATATATATATATATATATATATATATATATATATATATATATATATATATATATACAGGTCCGCCAAGAGGGGGGGGGGCAATTAAAGTAGTTTGCCCCGGGCATCACAGTCTATGGGGCATCACATGCCTAATAAAAAAATTATTGAAATGATAAAAAATTTAGCTGATACCGTATTTAAAGATTAAGCAATTTTTGTGTATTAATTTCTTTCTCCTTTTAAACTTTGTTTGCATTTAAAATAGGATAATTATTACTTTACAAGGTTTTCATTATACATTTGAACGCACGCGTTTTCATTGGCCTTTTGTTCGCATGATAGAATAAAAAGCGTTAAAAAAAAAATTTCTTATTTAGCGTTTGTAAAAGCCTAACTTCTAATAGTTTAACTTATTTTTGCTTAAACCTTGCGTCCCTGTGGATACTTTTGTGCATATGTATGTTTTTGACTCGCCTGCATTTTTTTCCGACTATATTTTGACAAGAAACTTATCTTCAGTGGATATTTTAATTGTAAGTACTGACTTTTTCTCTGCAATCAATAACACCAAAGTATTATAAAGTTTTTAATTTTTTTAAAAATTTAAAAAGTTAAAATTCTTTATATCGTCATAAGTTTAAGCATGAATAATCAAAGACCTCCACGATTGAACCAGCTGTCTAAAGCTGCTGGGAGAAAAAGAGCGATGATTCGGAAAAAAAACGAAAGCAAAAACAAACGAACGCTTTTAGATTGCGTTCGTTGGACAAAAATCGAAGATTTTTGTCCAACGAGCAAGCAGGTAGTTAAACTATTTTTAAATCTTGTGACGTTCATGAAAAAATAATTAGAATAATTCTGTTTAATACTTCTTTATAGTTCAATGATATTGAGATCGGTATCAATGACTCTAATGAGTTGCCAGACCATAATTCTGACAAACTTTTTCTTGCCGATGACATCGATGACTCCCAAATAACATCATCACATTTAAAAAAAAGTCAGTTGGATTTTGTACTTGATTGTCACAATGACCAACAAATTTATAAAAGTGATCTTTTTCTATACCAATGGAAATCAATATTAGACACTGATCGAACGAATATAATTCTGATGGGACCTTCTTCAAATCCTAGCAATTTTCCACGAGATCAAAAAGAACGCAAATTCCCTACTTATATCTTTTTAGAGGAACAAAGAAACGGAGAAAAAGTTAGAAGAGATTGGCTCGTTTGGAGTAAGGCTGTGGCATCACTCTTTTTTTTCCCTTGCTCCCTTTTTGGATCGCCTAATTTAACCAGACCCGGTGTTCAATCCAGTTTGTTGTCTTGGAATGGAAGTATACATTAAAATTGGAAAAAACTTTCAGATCGCGTTAAAAGTCATCAACAAAGCGATTTTCACCGTAACTGTTATCTCCAATGGAAAAAGCTACGATTCACTTGAAAAGTCAAAAGTCCATTGAGCATCAGTTAGAAAAACAAATTGGAGATGAAACAAAGCAATGGAAAATAATTTTACAATGCATTCTTGACGTCACAATTTTTCTAGCTTCAAGAAACTTAGCTTTTAGGGGTAAGAATATTGTTTTTAAATTTTAAATTATATTTTGCATTATTTTATTTGTAATTTAAAAAATAAAATTACAAGTTTTAATTGGATATAAATATGGATTACTATTTTGATAAATTTTTGTTTGTAATTAGAATCCAATCAAAAGTTGTTCAAAAATGGGAATGGAAACTTCCTTGGAGCGCTCGAATTAATTGCTCGCCACAACAAAACATTACAAGATCATATGCATCTTATTGCTAAGCACCAAGAAGAAGAAAAACGCATGCAAGCTCATTATTTATCCTGGAAATTACAAAATGAATTTATCAAGGAATGCGGCAAATTAGTGGTTCGAGAAGTTATTCGAGAAATCAAAAAATCAATATATTTCACCATCATCACGGACAGCACTCCCGATTTGTCATACAGCGAGCAAATAAATTTTGTTTTTCGTTTTTTGCATTTCAATGATAATCAGCTGTGGGAGGTCAAAGAAAGATTCTTTAAGCTAGAAGAACTTGAAAAGAAGAAGGGATCTGATATAACAAAGTTGATATCTCATTAAATGGATGAATTCTTTTGAATTTGTTGTTTTCACTACTTTTTGGTTTAAATGTTTGATGGCAGTTAACAACGCGAGTCTTCTGTTTCAATCCACTTAACTCACTCTCGATGATAAAGTAAAGATTCTAAATGGCCTTTTGATGGATCTGGATTGAATCTGTCTGTCGTGGGACCTGATTTTGATAGAGGCAACAGAAGTTGCATAGAACTTGAAATTTGATAAAATAATGTTTACTGTGAAGAGAACGCGAAAAAAGATCATCCCAGATGAAACTGCTGGTTACAACCACGAAGAAGCATCAAAAAACTTTGAGTGTAATGTCTTCAATGTTGCACTCGACAATCTGACTAGTCAAATGAGATCAAGATTTAAAGTAATAGAAGAGGAATGTAGCAAGTTTTCCTTCCTTTGGTCTTTACAGAAATCTCAAACAGACCAAGAACTAGGTTTAAAAGCTGAGGTTTAAAAACTAGGTTTAAAATAGATAGATAGATAGGTCAATAGATAGATAGATATATTTTTTTTTTTTTTTTATATTAATTCACCTCCTCAAGGCCGAGAAGGCCACTACAGACGAGGAGGCTACTTATTTGTGGTTATAACCCTCTCTCAACTCTATAACTCCGAAACACAAACCTTGACGAGCAAGGCCGCTCCGCGGAGAAACGAGTTGAGCGCGGTACTACCAGGGACGTGGTGGGGATCGAACTCCGAACCACTCGTTTATGAAGCGAGCGCTCTACCACTACACCACTACCGCATATATAGGTATATAGATATATATATATATATAGATATGTATATATATATGACAAATGTAAATACATATACATTTGTCATTATTATTTGTAAAAAGAGTTTCGAATGCTATTTTAAATAAAGAAATGTATTTATTGTTGCGGTTATATCATACACTGTGCATATAAAGAGGACTTTAAGAAAAACTTGAGGTTATTGGTAATTGGGATATCAAAAGCTGCATTGTCAATCTTTAAAAATATCCATAGAGGCTAAATGAGGTTGAATTTGAGTAAAGGATAAGTGTTGCAAAAAAGTCTTAATATTATTTCAAAATTTTATAAATAAAATCCTGAGAAAATTATTAAACTGCTTAAGTAGTTAAACCAATTGCTTTATTCATTACATTATATGATATTATTATTTAAAGTAAAAAATTACACAACTTTATTTGATTTTCACTTTATTATTGCATCTTTCAATCATACTGCAATACAGTTCAAATGCTAGAATGTTTTTAACAAATTTTTTGGTTATCAAAATAACCTCTATTGAATGTCTAATATTTATTTGATGGAGTTTAAAAACCCTTTTTGGATTTTTTTTTCCAAACAAATTTGTTCTATTTATTGTTCTATTTCTGCCATAGATAACATACTAACAAACTCATTTCTAGATACCTCCTTAAAAGCAGGAATAGTAAAAATTGATATAACAGATCATTTTCCAATTTACTTTACAATAAAAAATGATACAAGAGTAAATAATAATTTGAAAAAAATAACTTATAAAAGAAAAATAAATAAATTTTCAATTCAAAATTTTAAAGACACACTATCGGCAGTAGATTGGGTTAAAGTGTATTAAGAATGTAACCTTGGGAACACAAACTCTGCATATAATACTTTTACAGATATTTTTCTAAAGCACTACAATAATCATTTTCCAATCAAAGAAAAAGAAATCAAAGTAAAATATTTGAGCTGTCCATGGATCACCAGCGGTATTAAAAAATCTTCAAAAACAAAACAAAAACTATACATTAAATATTTGAAAAACAGAAATGAGATTAACCTATCTACTTATAAACAATACAAAAATCTTTTCGAAAAAATCAAAAAACATTCTAAAAAAGTTTACTACTCTAAATTACTTAAAAAAACAAATGGAGACATGAAAAAAACATGGAACATTATGAAAGAAATAATCGGGAAAAAAAACAAAAAAACAAATAGTTTACCAGATAGAATCATTATAAATGAAACCGAACACGATGATAAGAACTCAATTGCCGAACACTTCAACAATTTCTTTGCAAACATAGGCCCAAACATGGCGTCTGATATTATAACTACAAATGACTCCTTTGAAAACTACCTTACAGATCTAAATAGCGAACTAATTTTCAATGGACTAAGCTATGAAGAACTTGAAAATGCAAAAAACTCTTTAAAAATCAACAAAGCACCAGGAATTGATGAAGTTTGTAGCAATGTAGTAATAAACATCTTTCCGATAATAAAAAAACCCCTCTTCGAAATATTTAAATCTTCAATTATAACAGGAACCGTTCCAGAGAAATTAAAAATTGCAAAAATTGTACCTATATATAAAACTGGAGAACCATATTTACTAAACAACTATAGACCAATCTCAATCCTTCCTGTATTCTCAAAACTTCTCTAACGAATAATTTATAATAAACTGTACATATATTTAACAAACAATAACATTTTAAATAAAAAACAGTTTGGATTTCAAAAACAACATGCAACTGAACATGCAATCATAGATCTTGTAAATAGCATCAACTACTCATTTGATAATAATGAATTTGTTCTAGGAATCTTTATAGATCTATCAAAAGCATTCGATACTGTTGATCATGAAATCCTGCTCAAAAAAATGGAAAAATATGGCGTAAAAAATGTTGCATTACTCTGGTTTAAAAACTTTTTGCTAAACAGACAACAATGTTTAAATACTGATGAAAATATCTGTTCAAAAATGCTAAAGATCAAATGTGGCGTTCCCCAAGGTTCCATTCTAGCTCCCTTACTGTTTTTAATATACATTAATGATCTTCCGAAAGCCTCAAACAAACTTGATGTCATAATGTTTGCAGATGACACTAATTTATTTTATTCTTCCCCGTCAATTACAGAACTTTTTGAAACAATGAATATTGAACTCGAAAAACTTAATAATTGGCTAAAATCTAATAAACTATCTTTAAACACAGAAAAAACTAATTACATCTTATTCCATCCAAATCAAAAAAGAAAAAAACTACCAAATATATTGCCATTGCTAAGAATAAAAAACAAAAATATCGAAAGAACCACAACAACTAAATTCCTAGGTTTACTTATTGATCAAAATATTTCATGGAAAGCCCATATTGACTATTTAAATACTAAAATAACCAAAAACATTGGCGTGCTATACAAAGCTAGGCCAATGTTATCCCAAGAAAATCTAAAACATATTTATTTTTCATTTATACATATCTATTATACATATGGTAATATAGCATGGGCCAGTACCCATAAATCTAATTTAAAATCACTTTATCAACATCAAAAACATGCCATTAGAATTGTCTATAAAAAAGATAAACTCACTCATGCTGAACCTTTGTTTAAACTCCTAAATGCACTAAACGTCTATAGAATTAACATTTACCAAAACTTACTCTTCATGCTAAAATTTAAACTCGGGCTTGTCCCACCACATTTCTTAAATGAATTTTTTAAAAGCAATAAAAATAGATATGACACTAGAGAAGTAGGAAACTTTAATGTACCATTCAGAAAAACAAAACTGTCGCGTTTCACAATTTCGTTTCGCGGGCCCTATCTTTATAATAAACTGATATCCAAAAATGCCATTATTACAAAATTAGATAACATAAATTGTTTGAAAATCTTACTAAAAAAGTTTGTTTTAAATATCAGCAATTATTTAAACTTTCACTAAACTAAAACTGAAAGTAAAACCAAAATTATAATTGAAAACAAAATCCAAAAAACTTCAATAATATATATTAATATAAAAAATCAATATAAGTCAATAATAATTATATTTATGCTTAATAATATATTTATATGTATTATGTGTACTACAACCAGTATTTACCAATTTTTTATTTCTACATTTTATTATATGTGAACCTAATATAAAATGAAGTATTTTGTGAAACTTGATACATTGTAAAACGAAAATACAAAAAATATCACAAGTACAAGCGGTTTCTTGATGACAAGACCATCTGGTCTTCTGCAAGTTTCCCGCGTTCTTTTTATATTAATGATACCCTACAATCATATTTTTTGTATTCTATAAAATTGTGATATATTTTTAGTATTATATATTATAAAAACATTATAACTTTGTACCAATCATGTAGAATCACAACATTATAAAGATAAAAGAACAAAAAAAAAAAAAAAAAAAAAAAAAAAAAAAAAAAAAAAAAAAAAAAATTTAATAT